TATTCGCCTTTGCGTGTTCCTTGAATTTGTTGAGCATCCAGAACGCAGTCTTCAAGCGTACAAGCTCACTTCTCAAATGTTCCTCGTTCTCAGCGGGCGTAATCTCACTATCGGAACCAATTTCGAAGAACCTCTTAGCGACGAAAAGCTCTGTGCCCATCGAAAGCTAGAAGACGAGACTCAGTCGTAGTCACACAGACAATTAAGCTCACGTCGCTCACTTGGTAAACGTTCTTGGTACTTCCAGAAGCCAGGACCTCCTTCCCTAGAAATCCATCTACAGGTTCTGCATTCTCAAGCCAAACAATTTCGACTTGCCCAGTTTTCGAATCACAAGTGGCGTACGCTTTGATGAGCTGTACAGGCGCAGACACATTTGCGGAGGTAGACCGAGGTGTGGGGACCCAGCATGAGAGTAGAGAGCCTAGGGTTGATGTATTAGGACAAGATTCTACTGCCAAATCAAGGTATACTGACCACCTGCATGGCACTTTTGCTGGGGGATGTCTTCACCAGTAAGCGATGTAGCTGTGGCACTGCGCTTTCGCACAGAAATAGACTTTGATATGTCAGGTGAACCGCCGCCATCATTGCGCCGCTGGATAAACTTAAAACTAGAGTTAGCAGATTTACTTAGTAGGACAAAAAAGATGTACCCGTGGTTTATCGATGTAAAGCTCGAGCGCCATAAAATATTGGTTTTTCGGCGCAGTAGATTTCTTCGACCTGGCCTCATTAGACGCATAATAGAGGCCCATGTCGCCAGTCATATAGGCATTATACACATTTCCCACCTGGTCATTGACAGTACCAGGCAAGAAATGTTTATTGCCCGCCCAACGGAATTCAACCTTGTCCCTAATGAAGTGAGAAATTAATTTACGGTGACAAGGAAGGTCCACTTACCGTGTAAGTTCCATCCCATAGCGCCTGGACCAATGCGAGTTTAACGTCACAAGTGAGTCATCAAGAACCTCTATAAACGATAGAATAAGCAATCGCTCCGTAAACTTGGCTAGACGAATTACCTGTGAGGTAGTCTTCCTTTGACCATGGCTTGCCCCAGCGACCGCAGTCAGTGTCGGTTGAGTTTTGCTCTCGTTTCTGGTTGCTCTTGATGCGGCATTCGACTGTGATGAAAACCTTGTTTTCGCCAGTTGGAGTGTTGTTGACTCGGGCAGTCGACAGTCCAGCGGTTGTATGAATGGCTGGAGGGTTCGGTGCGGGCTGTTTATTCAAACGTGCATCAAAGGCTTGCGCTCGAGCGAGTCGTGAGGTGGTAACAGCAGTCTGGATAAGGTCGGCTGCTTCTGTAAAGGATTAACATCATCAACATCACTCAGCGAACGTGGCCGGCCAATCTGGAAATGCTTACGGGGGTTTGGACCACTACCAGTTATTGTTTTGGCCAGTAGGCCAGCGCACCGTCCACAAGTGGGACTCACGAGATTCTTCCACGCAAGTCCACAGCTATCGCACTGTCTCGTTTTCTGTGATCGTGTTCAGAACAGTGCCAGTGATTATACGAAATAAGACCTACGCTCCAAGTGACATACTCCTCAGAGTCAGGCTTTAGCGTAGCGAGTTTTTGGCACTTCGCGCAAAGTCCAGGTGAAGTCTTGAAGGGGAAGGAGCCTCTGCAGCCATCACCTGAATTTGATGTACAAAGGTCGACATCCATAGCGGTCGACTGAGACAGACGCAATGCAAAAGCTTTAGTGGGGCAGATAGAGATGGAGTTGGGGTTGGAGTTGGAAATGCCGGCAGAATTTATACAGCTTTCATGCAGGGTGAAGCGGCGCACTAGACGAACAGTGAGCATTCACAATTGTTCTTCTGTGAATCTCGAAACTCACCTCAAGAATTCCATCTCTGGTCTCGACGGTCTCTATTTGTTCTAAGAAAAGAATTTGGAAACATACTTACACTCAACGGGAAGATAGGTAACACAATGTCCGACCATTCTGAATACATGTCATTACTGGGTAGTGCTACTGACGGCGCAAGCACCAAATGGTACATTCTGCAGAGCAGTATGGATATGATCCTTTATTGAGGACGCCTTCCATAAGGTTGGCTGCTTGAGTGGCCACCTCACGGACGACAAGGTGCAAGCAACCTCCGAAGTGTGGGTGTGTGTTGTCCGGTAGAATCTCTTGACTTTCAAGCGCGAAGGCATGGATACATGGTGGAACCCTGTGGCCCCGACCCCACCCTTTAAGAACCAAATATATCAGATCAATTGTTGGTGAGGATCTCAAGAAGAACATACCTATTCCATTGAAGGCTGTTAGACATACATGTCTAACTTCTTGTGCTACCTCTGTCATGCATCCCCGGCATCTGCAGCATCTAGTAAGAACATGAAGTGAGTGACGGCCGTGGACAAATCACCGAACTTCAACGATACGGAATGTCTATGACAAGCAATGAGTAAAGTGATGTATTAGAAGTGGTGGTTCAACTCACGAAGGCTACAACCAATGCCCCAATTCTCGTCACATCCTCGGAGGCTGCAATACGGCCTAGTCGCTTTCGCATGTGGTGTTGGTTGTGGGATGATCTTCTCAGAATGCGGCGTGTCACGGTTGGCAGTGTGCTTGGTATCAGGTATGCAAGCATTCACATGCTCATGTGGATGTGTGGATGTGTGATGCTAAACAGTGAGAAGATCAAAATGCAAATGAACCGTGGACATCCCGCCAACCTTACGTTCCAGATGAAGTATAGATTGAGAGATAATGCAGGTCAAGTGCCCACTGAGCCGGGCGACTAGTGTTTGAAAGTCCGGTTAGGCTAGGTTATTGGGTGCCCAGGGGCTCTAACCGAGACCGAGACCGGTTAGGGTTCGTTCCCAGACCCAAAATAACCTAACTGGACCGAAGATAACCGATGAAAACCGGTTAGTTGCAGTTACTAACCGGTTAGGACCGAAAAAATAGAAAATCGATTAAAACGGCGTATATTTCTCATATTCCTTGCAGTAAACATTATTGCCATGCGTCGTAGCTTTAAAACAAGCCCAAGAACGCTAAATTCGGTGAAGAATTGACAATTTTATAATAATATTCTTGAAAGCCTACTATTTTAGCCAATAATTTAGAGATTTGACCATAACTCTGTCAGATTTTTAGCGTTTCTCATGCTTTTAGATGCGTTTTGAAGGGGTATAATAGGGTCGGTTGTAACCGGTCATAACCGGTTTTTTAACGGTTAGTTAACCGCAAAATAACCGGTTATTTCATTTCCAGAATTGACTAACCACTAACCGCGGTCCGGTTTTTTTGCAGTTAGGTCCGGTCTGGTCTCGGTTATTTTCCAGTTAATTAACCTAACTTCCAAGCACTACGGGCGACCGACCGAGCATCCATGAGGTCGTGAGAATTCTGTCCGGACCATCTTACCGAGGACATCCACCGAAAACCTTAATTTTCGGGGCCTGTTCAGGTTGGGTTACTGGGACCGTCTGACCCCCCGAAGAGTCGGCTACTAGCCTTGAGGCTGGTAGCCTGAGAACGATCACTGCGTCATTCGGCAAAGCCCGTCAGCTCATCAGAGACTCCGCTCTACACAAGTCTACACAGCAACTTACATAGATTTTTTGTCGGGACAACCTACATATCAAAAAAAAAAGCCATGAATTTCGAAAACAGGGATACTTTCAAATTTCAAACGACTGTTGTGAAAGATACCTCAATTTTTTCTATAAATGACAGTGACGGAATCAACACCACCAAACAGTTACCAAATAGAGTGTTAGAACTTAGCGCTGTATACGCTTTATGATACGCATTTTGTGGCGACGGTAACGGATTTCACGAGGAATAACTTTACATTGTTCTAATACAAGTGGATAGTGAAAGGTATAAAGAAGAACTTACAAAGTCAAGCTAAGCATCAACCAATCAACAACCAATAACCACAAAACTAGCAAGTAACAAGTCCAGCACCCAACTTAAGCATGATGCATGATGTATTATATGTGTCTAATGCATTCAATGACTCTTCATATATGTGGAACTGAATGTTTGCGAGCAGTGTGATAATTACAAGAGGCTCGGAAACGAGACGCGACATGATACATTACAGTGCCTTGCATAATGCTTTGCAGCGTGAATTTTTTGAAATTGTATTTGGCTGTGTTTAAACTGGTCCTGAGATGTCACATTCAGGCTTATTCCGGACAGGGATCATTTCGTTGGGCCTTAGTTGTGACATATCAGGTTCACTACAAATATAATCAAATATGATTTGAAAAAATTCATGCTGCAAAGCATTATGCAAGACACTGTAACGCGACGGACCCATCACTACGTCACGTTCAGCTATGGCCGCACGTGAGGGCATCAGCGGCGTTTTCCGAGGGAGCGTCCAGGCTTGTAGCACTGAGGCTCGTGGCCAGGTCAGCGGGCGGTCCGACATTCTGGGGTTACCACGCACGACGCGCACCCCGTCCTCCGTAGAGACGTTAGACGACTAAAGACAGATATTTTTGAGATCGCACGCCCAAATTTTTACTAGTTGCTGGTTGTTAAGTTGGGTTGCCACGCACGACGCGCACCCCGTCCTCTGTAGAGGACTGAAGGCAGATATTCTTCAGATCGCACGTCCCAATTTTCAATACTTGCTGCTTAGACCGTATACGTACAGCGCAAAGCGCTGGAAGTGGTCATGGTGGTACGAGTTGAAAAGCAAAGATCCCGATTTGGGCCCTTTGTTGATTCTAACTTCAACAAACCAATACGTTAAGCATTGGCTGGCAATGCCTCAGGCTAGCATTGGGCATCCAGATTACAGGTCGCTGGGCTGCAGTGTTTTTCAACCCGGTGAAGCTACACTGAATCTATCCAAATTCCAGCTTTTTACCTCGTGCTGTCACGCGGGATACGGTGCACCGAGGATCCAGGCAAAGATCTAGGTCAGGTCAGCCATGTTTCCTACGTAATTCAGAGCTGTACCACTAATACACATTATGATTCTTCTCAGGCCCAGGTTCTCGAGCCTATCATGTCACGTTGAAGGCTGAGACTGAGCAAGTATTGCCATCGAATCAAAGTGGCTTCAAGGTGAATTCGATTCGATTGGAAAATCGCGCTGCGCTGAACATTGGACAGTTAACGGCTATAGTATCACAGAACTACTTCGCCAAAGCGATTCACGTTCAACACGCGGGCACCCATAGGCCTGTAGCTGTCAGAACAAAATTCACATGAGAGCTACAGTTAGGGGCGACGTTGTGCTTCTTACTTCCATTGACTCCGGTCCACGTTTTCTTGACGGAACTTGACTTTTCGCGAAGAAGATGGATTGGAAGACTACTTACAGGTCAACCACAAGGACACCTTGCGGTGACGATGGGAATACCTACTCAGTTCGCACCTACCTAACTTGGTTTTGCAGAGATCAAGTGCAGATTCCCCGGGGCATCAAGTGGTCTAGCCCCGTAAAAAGGAACTTGGTCGCTGGTCATGGAACATACTTGTCAGTTCTTACTCTAAGTTCAAGTTCTTGAACTGACTGCAAAGAATGAAGGTTGAAGGCTTCCTCCGAACAGATGAGCAATTTAAACGGACTATCAATAGACCTCATCGGTCACGGCTTGCCTCCGACGTCTCGTCCACTATCTTTGTGCCCTCTTGGTAGCGTATAAAAGCCCAGCAAGGATAGGCCTCAGATAGCAGCATCGCTCTTACCACTTAGTTCTTCGTGTGTAAGTCTTCCTCCATTTTCAAGGTTCCGTCTCTAACTACAATCCTTTTAACTAGCTTCATCATGTCAAACGAGTACAATCCCCCTCTTGGAATTGCCTTTCGTCTGTGCGGCCTTGCGAGCGACCGCGTCCTTTTTTCTCGAGTTTCCCCATCTCCGGAAGTGTTCCACCATCCCAAAAGTGAAGTTTATCCCGACCAGTGGTTTGTCGCCATTCCAGGCTCGGGCCAAAACGCAGGATGTTACGCCATTAAAAGCAAGAACACTGGGAAGGTCCTCTTTTCCAGAATGTCGCCTGATCCTCGCGTTGGACACATTGACGGCGACGGTAAATACCCAGACAATTGGTTCAAGTTTGAGGCAGGCAGTGGCAAGTACGCAGGCTACTTCCGCTTGCGCGCCGTCGCATCAGACACTGTCCTGGTGTCTAGAACTTCGACGGGCACTGACACCCAGGTTATCAACTACCCGGCCACCAGTGCAAAATACGATGATCAATATTTCACTATCTTATTCGACAAGGACCAGCTATCTACGAAAGGCCAGTCGAACTTGGGCGGCCTCCAGTATGCTCGTCCTCGCATTACCACTCTTGACGCATCTCGACTCCCCACTCCCCCCGGAGGCTGGAAATTCGCCAACCTTGTTAATCCCAGCAAGCCTGATTCTAACCTTTCACACTACCCAGTCTTACTCTTTGGCAGCTACACATACACCGGTGCGCGATCTTCCTCTCATTGTCACATTTTATTCTGACTTGTGAATTCCGCATACAGCTCTCAGCAGCGCCAAGGACGACAATCGCATGAAGATCGTTGCTTGGGATAGGAACCGAAACCTTGTCAAGGAGCTGGAAAAGCCAGGTGCCCGGTACCTTTGGAATATTACGTTCAACGCTGGAAACCAGACGGTGACCTTCACCGGGCAATCTAATCAATCCATTCAGGCCACTCTAGATGAACTGGTTGTCAGGCCCGCCGTGGTTTACCTTCCATCGTCTTCAGGTCCCATCCTTCCGTACACTCTCACCTACGCCGCGGCTGACCCATCTCGCTTCCCTGTCATTAAGAACGGCCCTTACTCCTTCTGGCCTGCGTCATTCAAGGACGGGCGTAAATCCTTCTGTATTGCCGTCGCCGACAGAGATAATCTGGTTCAGAAGTTGATTGAGTGCCCAGGCGGAAAGGTCATTCGAGATGTCCAGGTCAATGACGCTCAACGCACGATTGGGCTCATTGGCCAGGATGGTTCCAAGGCTACTTTCAACTACGACATTGCCCTAACATGCTTCTACGACTTCTGCAACTTCACCAAGGATGCCTTCCTCCTTCTCGCAAAGGATTTCGATGTAACTCTTTCGGATACTAACGCTGCATTCCGGGTTCCTCATTGAAGGGCTCCTGGTTGTTGGCCCTGGTCTCATCGCCGGCGCTGCGGCATCGGGATTGGATCGACCGTACATTCCACGGTATAAGCTCTCAGCTTTGGAGAGGGCTTCTCTTGTAGGGTAAGCGATCATAGTGCAATATCATGTGGATCTTCGCTTACGCATTTTTTAGCTACTCCAAGTTCCCCTGTGGGCCCTTTGACAACACAGGCAGAAGGGAGGATATCTTCGATTCTCCCTTCCCTCGCTACCAAGAACTACCGTATTCTGCTGCCGTTGTTGAATCTGGGTGGTCCCGTATCGTCGACAGCACGCTCATCAGCACCAAGAACCCGTCCATCTCGCGAAACACATTCTTCGTGACCTCGTCTCGCATCTCAACCAATACCTGCGACAATCGTCAGTCATGGCCATACCCCTTGCAACTTCCAACGCACCTCATACTTTGCCCGCTCACCATCCGCCCTTTTGAGATTCTCAGCTGCGCTCCTCATCAGCTCGACCAACACATCCCGGGCAAAGTCTTCTGGACTTTGTGTCTGTTCTCGTTCTTCATGAGATCGGACCGCTGTTATTGGTGTCTTTAAAGGCAAGTGAATCGGTTGCGGAGAGGAGAGAGACGAGTTTAGAGCATTTCGTGTGGATTATGACGGTCTGGCGATTACGATTGGGGCTTAAGATCAAGCGCGCTTTGGTCGTCGTTGTAACGCGTTGATCCGTAGTCGAATAACTTCAACCCAAACCCCATCACCCTGAAGTGCCTCTGCCAGGAATTTTACGCATGGACATGAGTGTTTCTGAGGTACTTCTATGAAATGCTTCGATACAATCACAGTACATATGAGTGGAAAGCTGAAGGTCCAAGAGCGGTATGCACTGCATACCATGTCCTGGGCCCCACAAAGTAGTCAGTGCCGGGACATCGCCATCGTCTACAATTCTTGGAAGCTATACATCGTGAGCATCACCCGACATCATATGCATATCAAACCTGGCCACACCTTCGACTCAGTCGTTGATCATCTCCAAGATGACCTTGCCTGTATCATCAGAGTACAGTTGAAATTTCGTGACCTGATTTTCTCGTCAGTGACATAGACCTTAGCAAACTCAAGTACCATAATAAGCGCTTTACCTGATTGTTCAATTTGCTGAGGTCGATAGCTTGAGGTGCAGAAGAGGATGCGTTGAGAAATAGCGGACAATGGAGTTGGTTGGGGTCGATTAATTGGTGATCTGTCGAAGTACACATCCGTTAACACGATGACATGGACGGGCAAAGTTAGTAACCTTGATAACCAGACACGGCATATGCTTGAAGCATTACAGGAGGTTTACATGCAAAGACATGTTTACCAAAGGATCTGAATGGAGGATCATATTCATCAGACATGTCAAGGGCGCCAAAAGAAGCGCACTGACGCAACGGAGTCCAGGTCCACCACAGGAGAGAAGACGTCGACTTCATCTGTGGTGGCAATCGAACCTTTTGATGAATCGATAAACCGTTCCTGATCGATTCAATGCCAGATTCATAGACGCACATAAAGCTAAGCGCAGCCGTGCACCCGTCATGTTGGAGACGGCAATGGTACTCGTCTTAAATGGCATTGGCAGTTGTTCGGACATGTCGTGCCCATCATGCAAATTTTGTAAAATCGCCGCATATCCAGGCTTAACAAGCAACTTAATAGTATGGGGGAAGACCACCTTAGTAGTTACACACCTTCACAACTGCGTGTAGATCGCCTGGCTGCAGCGTACCGTCATCGAGCTTCTCAACAACACAAAAACCCGACCTGGAACCCAGATGGAGTCAGCAGGAGCTTGAATACATCACCGACAGAGGACTACGCTTACCGGCTACTCCAGAATAGTTCGTTCTGCGTTGTGGCTATCATTTACGCCAGTCAGCTGGAAATTGACATTAAGAGCAAATCTGAACCGACTCGTTTGTTCAAAGCGAAGAGTCTGAGAGAAAAATAAGATAAGGGAACGTGGCGAGATGAGAATCAATTATCGGTACCTTCCACACGATAGCAGGCCAAAGCTTGTCGGGGTCGGCAGTGGGAGGGGTAAGGGTGAATGTGATCTGAAAACGAGAATGAATCTGTACAGCGTATCATTGGAGCATGAAATTAATACATCGATCGGTATTTTCAGCGTCTTGGGTGCAACATCAACACCCGTGTAGATTATCAGGCGTTTCCGGAATAGTGGGGTTTCCAGCTGATGTTCAGGCTCAGGAGGGTGGTTGCCTTTGGTGTGTTGGCTAGATATTTCCATACGTCAAACAATATTTCTGCTGAACATGACATTTCTGACCTTTCAGATCCAACACTGGCACCCTTCATCTTTGCAACAAGTGAATTGGCTTTTGATAGGAACTCTTTCCATTTCCCTCGGTCTAGGAGCGGGTCCAGCTCATCCGGTTCAGTTCCACCCTCGATAACAACTCCAATATTGTATACGTCCTCGACGGAACAGTCGAGAGCCCGAATCTTGTTGACGCCGCAGTCTTTGATGTCGAACTTATGCGCACCAGGAAACATGGCATGGAATCGAAGGGTTTCCAATGATTTGCGAATTCGCTGAATTCGGTCGGAAAGTTCCTTCGCAGATAAGACAGAAATTAGCATGAACATCCATAATCATGGCAGGATACCAACCGTGTCTGCATCTTCTAACCTCGATAGTTGATGTGCGAGTCCCTGCCATGTGATGGGTTGGCATTGGAACGCCCACGTTACAGACCAATTCAAGGTCCCGTCGCCCAAGCGGCCCAGGAAGTTCAAGAACAAGCCTTCATAACGTTCCCGAAAGTAGTCTCTTGTAAGTTCTATGATGCGTCGACAAGTGAGTTGGACATCAAAGAGATGACGATGCCAATTTTCCCAGGCGTATTTTCTGCTGAGCTGGAAATAATTCACTCGATCAGGTTCGATTTCGATCGATCCATTTTGGCTCTCCGCGATGATCAGCTCAACGCAATCATAGAAGAGGGAGAGATGCTGCTTTGTAGGATCGATCCAGTAATTGTTGTTGCGATCAAAGTTGAAGTTATCGGAGCGGTTTCTGTCACTTAGGAAATGGCGCAGCGACGAATGGCAAAAGGTAATATTCTCGTGATCGGTTTGTGGTATCTGAAGGATTGATCTGCAACCTCGAAGTAATCGACGAGCGTCGGCTGCGCTATGAAGCCTAAGGAGCAACACCAGAGAGCCCAAAGGGAGCTCGTCGTAGAGGAAGCATCTCGCGCCCAACAGCCGGTGAAATTCGGGATTGTAAAATTCTGGTGCAATCCGCAAAACCTGTCGGAAAAAAATATCGAGGCCATCATATTGCTCCAGTGCGCGCCTCAGCCTCGATTGCAGATCTCCCCCCTGGTTGCAATCACCTACGAACTTGACGAGGCTCCAAGCGTAAACGAATAGGCCCTCCGACCTTTTTACCAATAGATCAAAATCCCGTGGGGATGGCCAATCCTCTAACTTCCGCGATCCACAATAGATTAAATGCTTAGTCCTCAAAACTTTGAACTCTTCTTCAAAGAAAATTTCGATATCTTTGTGAGCCGGAAAGTCTTTTAGGTTTAATGGATAAACTCTCTTCGGATAACAGTTAAATTCTCCCAAAACTTCTTCTTCTGGTCGGCTCGTCACGAAGAATCGGATTGGTGGAGGTGACTCGCAATACTTGTCGGCGACAATTTTGATAAACATTTGCAATGGACCACGACATTCGTTGATTGCGTCAATGACCACAATCATAGGAGGGGGATAAAGAAAGGCTTCGAGATGGGTTTGAATGGCCATTTGAATAGTCGGGAGTGCGGCTACAGTGGACGCTGCCGTGAGGACCATGAAAATGAAGGAGATCGCTTCGCGACGATCAGTGGATGGAGGGAATATAATACAGACAATGAGCGTGATCAAGACTTCGAAAAACGCCTGTGCAGAAAAGAGGGCTGCCCAGACTTTAAAAAAATTGCGAGTAACAGCCCTACCAAATTGACGGCGCCTAGAAGGACCAACAAGGAGGCTGTGAAATTGAGTTTCCAGTGATTTGGAGAGGACAGTAGGGTCGGCATTAAGGACTTGAATGACCTTTTTTTTAATGATGGGATGGGATGTAGAATTTTGGTATGCAATGGTGGGGACGATTCTGTCGAGGGATCGACACTCTGGATTATGACTTGGATCTCCAGAAAAAAAGAAGGTCCCTGCCAAACGGTTTTCCTTGTCATACTTCGCCGCTACGGTAGTTGCGAGTGTAGTCTTTCCCGAACCAAGGGGTCCATAGAGCAAGCATACCGTGCTGTCACTGCATGAATCTGCCCAAGTGTAAACGCGATCTAAAACACCTTGGCAAGTTCCAGGTAAACATGCAGCCGCTGATTCACGTTCCGAGGAATTATACGAGGCAGTGACAACGGCTTTTCTGGACAGGATCTCGAACCCTCTCGCTGAATGATAGGTGATCAGGCAAGTCTCTTCAGGCGCGAAATCTGTACCCACGATCTTTTTGGACAGTGCAGTTGTCGACTTGTGTAAAATCTAACGGGTTTGATGGTTGATAAGCTGTACCAGAAGTCGTGTTCTTCAGAGTGGTAACCTACTTGTGCTATTATTCACATAGGAGTTGTCGTTATGTGAATGAAAATTCCTCTGGAAGTTTGTGATGGGCATCATCAATAGACATGTATACTTGGGGTGTGTGGTCTGAAAGAAAGAGAGGTGCGCGTTATATACACAAAAAATTATGCAGCGCCTTATATGGGTTTGGATGCAAGGTGGGCGTCGTGTCACCGCATCGAAGATTGAGACGGCAGGGCCGGACCCTTTCAATCGTGACGCGTTGACGTGCGATCGTCGAAGATTGCACATCTTGGATCCAAGATTGGTCACGCCGGCCCTTTCAATCTTCGTCCGTCAACCAATCACATACTATGCTATATCAGTACTTCGGCAGACCCTCTCAGTCGGCGGTCACAAATGTCACATTTTTTGGCGGATGAACGTGACAGATCGTGACTGGCCAAAAAACAGAACTTCGCCAATTCTTCGTTTTTTTAGACGAAAAAAAGCGGAGATAGGTTGGATTATACCCAGGAGGCCCTGTCTCAACTTTTGTGGCAAGAAATTTTGTGGAAAGTTCGAGATCAGGAAAGTGCCGACTGAGAGGGTTTGCCGAAGTACTGATAGGGCATAGTATTCCTGACCGTGACATGGTCTCAATCAATGGCTCCCTGCTTCGTCGTCCCTGCTCTCCCTCACGTCAGGGTAGATTAGGGTAGATTGCGCCACACCCAACATGCGGATTGTTGCATTGGGTGACTTTCCGTAGCTTTCCGTACCACACCCACTAGATTTCGATAAATCAACTTGAATGAGATCGACCCCAGAATATGTTTGATTTACCTGATGAAAAAGATGTTGCCAACTACAGTAGATGGTGGCGTTGCCCTGGATATGGAGCCAAAATATACTCATGGAGTCAAGTGGGGCGAGTGGCAATCTTAGGTTGCACCAAGTTGTTGGGAAACAAGCTTGACTGTATAATTTGGTTCCCTATTGATTGCGAACTGGGTGGATCTCAAGATTGATACGCAGTTGAAAGAAACTGCCAATGAACTCATAGATAAATGAGGCTCTGGTGTCATGTCTGGGACAAGGACACCGTTTTTCAAAAATTACATATATGGTAACTACTTGTAAAGATTATAGAGGGCTGTATAGTGTAGTGGATTATTGCGCTTTTTTGATCTCCTTTTATGGCAAACCTAAGTTCAATTCCAGCGATTGACATCTTTTTTTTTTTCACAGAGATAATTGAATCACAAATATGTATCTTGTTAGAAACTTGACAGATTGCTATGAAAATTTGTGAAATATATCCTCTCCCTATCTACCATTTAAAAATGGGGCAGGCACCCATTGGGGGCCACAACTATGAGGAAACAGGTTAGATATCATGAGTAAGTCTATCAGCATGCATTTTTACACATGAACTCACAAGACAGGAGATTAGGCCAAGAGCTCAGATTAATTGCAAAGCAGATTTATGTTCAAGTTCCTCATGTTGAGCTAACAAGGACAGAGTACTGAAAATTACAATGAAGAGGAATAATGATGGCTCTAGTGTCATGTCTGGAACAGCTGAGAATGTTTCAATTCTTTTCAAAAATGTGCATGTAAGAAGCAGGGTACTTTACACTGATTATATATGTAGAATTATAGATCAACAGCAAGGGTTGTTCAATTATGACAGATTTATTGTAACACAGTCCAGATCTTGAGATTGTTACAAATTCTTTTTATATGAAGGTCAAGACTATGTGAGGAAATATTAACAACATACCAGCACTCCTGTATCAGCATTTTTAAAGCAGTACAACTTTTTTTTTACCCATTGATTCTGTCTTTTTGTTGCCTTTAGTGCATCAACCTGCCATTAGGAGGAAGAAGTGCATGTAAAGTGCTTTCACATACTCTGAGATATTCTACTAGCATGGACACATACTTTGATGAGCAATTGCAACAAGTGGAACTGACTTTATGCTCAGAACAGCACAAATTCTCTTTTCAATGGTTTAAAAATGCATTCTAGGTTCATATTAGTGTATCCTATAATTCCCACAAGGTAAGTGAGCTATTCAAATATTTTTCTGGCCTGCAGCGCATAGCACAGGGAGAAAAGCCAGTAGGAGGTCAACTGCTTGAGTAGCTGCCTATTTGGGCACAGGTGTGAGATTGATTGCTTGTGTCTATTTTTGGATGACCTTATGTCTTTTTTTGGACATGTCTCAATGTAGACATAAATTATATCTATATATGGACATAAGGTGTCCCAGACATGGCACCAGAGCCGATAAATGAGGGAAAGGAAGATGGGGACCAAGGTCCAACTGTGACAATGACACGACTCTGAGGTCTTTCAGCCTGTGTCACATGAGTGAAGTGTTTGTAACACAAAAGCCATGTCATACCAGCTGCTCAAGGTTTCAAACCTCAAGCTCAAGGCCCATTCATAACCTGTAAAACTATCATGGTGAGTACGACTTTGCACTCTGTGACATTCAAATGACCTACTGGACTATGGTAGGCAGCCACAGCCATCTCGGATTCAGTGCCCATCGAGTCTGCACATGAGGTTATGCCTCATCTGATTACTCCCAACCTAATCTTGGTTCCAGTCTTCTCGTCTTAGGGCTTACGCACTCTTCATTCCTTTCGGCCCATCCTCAAGCTCTCAGGCAGCCACACCCATCTCGGATTCGGTGCCCATCGAGACTGCACATGAGGATATGATCGTACACCTCATCTGATTACTCACAACCTAATCCTGTGTTGGAAGGAGAAACACATAGTCATGGTCATGACTTTGATGACTAGTAATGACTAGTCAATGATACAGTGTCCTTCACAGCAGTGTTGGCATTGACCAGGGTCAGACCCAGTCAGTCAAAGGGTCAGTCAATAAAGGGGGGTCAGTCAATGTTTATTGACTGACCAGGTCAATAGATTTCGTGGGATAACGATAATCACGGCTATTTGATGCTGACGTGAACATTCTCCTTCAAAATTATCGATGTATTGTGGTTGTCGTGGTTGTTGCACCACATTGTAATAATTTATATGAATCTACTATGTTTACATGTTGATTACTCTCAACCACTCCATCCGCCTCTTGCCCTTCCAGTTCTGCGTCATGGCTTGCAATCTCAGCATCCAGACACAGTTCTGCATTGTAGCTTCATCCAGATAGTACAGTTCTGCATCGTAGCTTGCACAAAGCAAGCTCCTGGCAATCCTCGCCAGTTGGCAAGTCATCATTGTTGTCATCATTTGCCTTGTTGATCAAAGATTGAACAAAGTTGATGCTGACAGGTTTTGTTAAACAGTTGGGTTGATCCACTGTCGAGAATTGCCGCTTTGTATGGGAACACGACCTTCTTCGATGTGGCAACACCGTATGTCCATTTTTAGTATGCCGGTCTTGACACTTGTGTACTGTCTCAGCCCCAAGCCTTTCATGTGTTTTGGTGTGGATATTCCGAAAGATACTTAATGATCACTCAAAACCTCAAGTTAGTGACGACACTGAGAACACGGATGGCAAGCTTTGACAGAGTGTTACGGCCGGCGGGCACCTCATCATCTGTTTGCATGTTGATGCACTGCCAAATCAGAACAAGGTCCAGGCGTTGATGAACTTAATCATGTGACTTTGACCCCTTTGACCTTTATTGACTGACCCATTGACTTGACCCTGTTTATTGACCAGGTCAAAGGGGTCAAGTCAACACTGCTTCACAGCCATTTGTGAATGTTAAATTTCGTGTTTGCTTCTGTTGCCCTCAGGGTTTTTTTGTCACGCTGATCTGAGGGATCTTGAGTGAACCGGCCTCTGACCTCACTCTAGCCTTCGCCCATGGTATCTCAAGTCTCTGATGAAATGCATGCAAATATAATCATCTGGGATGAGGAGAAATGCCTTTCTCGCGAAATCACTAACCTTATGTGTGACAAAAAAAACCCTGAAGGTAACAGGTACAACAGAAGCAAACACGAAATTTAATGATTCACAACTGCAAACAGCTGTGAAAGACACTGTAAGGGTCTGTCCAGTAACAAGAATCCATTTTCATCTCATTTTCATCCTCATTTGATGGCATGTCCGGAGTATGCTGGGGTCTTCCCACGCGGTATGAATTTCTCAGCACTTGCTCAATTGTTATTGCCTGTTCCTTGCTCCCTCCCCCAATGCTGGATTGGCTCCAAAGCAGTTGAAGTGTCCATGTATCTATTTGCTCCCCATAATACATGTTTATTAAATGTAGTTGGAATGTAGTCAGGTTTCTGTTGCTGTCCAAAATTATTTCTTACAGAAATGTTTCAAGGAAAAATAACAAAGTTTCCTGTTCCTTACCCATCAAGCTATGCCATAGGTTTTCTATAGGTTCCACAGCAGCCTATGGGTGCCAAACCAACAAGTAGGTAATTTAAATGAAGATTGGTTGTATGTAATTTACATGAATAAAATAAATATGCATGATTTTTGTGAAATAGAAAATGAAAAGAAATACACTATAGCTGACAGTAGGATATTTACTGTGTTGTACATAGAAACTACTTATAACAATGGACTGTGGGTTGTGCAAGGAGAGTTATTGTTGTTGCCCAATTTGGTGTGTGACCCAATTTGTCAGCCATCAAATGAAGATGGAAATGAGATGAAAATGGACCTAAGACCTGTGCCTACAGCACGGCGCTCGGCTGTTCCTTCACCGCAGGTCACGGCTCGCCAGGGGCAAGCCCCCTGGACCCCCTTGTACACATCTTCAATCCCAGTTCCAGTACACATGTTTCATCCCAATCCCCATGTACATTTTTTATTCTGATCTTTATATGTTGGTGTAAATTACTGGTACATCTACATATATGATAAAATTTGCATCACAGTGGCAATTTTTCTGATATCTGTATGTGCCAAGTCCACAGTGCAGTGTGTTGGGCCCCAAACCCTGCTTCCACATAGCCAATAACTTGGCTGCTCCTACAACATGGGTCATAGCATGCTGGGGGCAGGCACTCTAACTCCAGTTTTTTGACATACCATCCTGCAAATTCAAATTGGTTCTGACTACCCATTAAACAGAGTGTTGAATATTTATTACATATCTTTATAAATGGTACTACTTCCAATTTAACATCTCTTACTGCTCTACCATGCCCCAATGTTTCTCATATTTTTGTACTGCGAACCCTCTCCTGTCATGCTATAAGACACCAACACATACAATAAATATATTTCTAACATGACCTTCCTTTACCTCCTCAGCTTTCCCAAAATCCTATTGGGCCAGAAACTATAGACTTCTAGTAATTTTGAGAAATTAGATTATTTCTTCCTGGGTTTCTCATCTCCATGGAATAAATTGACTAAATCTTTACTTATATTTGTGGAACTTCCTATGTCCTCTCCCAAATCAGCTCTCTAAGTCCCCATTTTATCTGGAAGATTTTTAACTCTCTGATTTATACATTTTATTAAATCTATATAACTCCAGGCCTGTTGAGAATCTTCAATAATAAAACTATGAGCAACTTACTGAGTTAAAAAAAATACTAATCTTTGAATTTCCAATCACATATTGAATTAGATAGAATACTTCAATATATAGCTTTGAGAGGTGCACATATCCAACACTTCCCCAATGAAGAGCTGGGGTGAAGGGATAAAATTCTGACATAAAACAACAAACCCATCCAACATACTCTCAGATGTGATAATAAGCCTCCAAAGATTATAGGCAGGGATGTTTAGAGTAACATTCCCAATCTCTCCCTGGAGTGAATTGAAATTAAATATTGCACATGCAAGAGGGGAAGAAAACAGAAACCCAAACATGATGATGGATAGATTACAGAACTAAGTGATTAGATCAACCAACTATAAAATTGTGATAGGTGACCCACCCAATGATAAATATTTTCTGACTGTAGAGCAGAGCTGATAGATTCAACCACAAAGAGCAGGCAATGTAAGAAAGTTTGTACAGAAATAGAATTTACACCTCTATGTATGTGCCTACAAACTGGCCTCTCAAGCAAGAGAGCATTTTAAAATATGTATAAAATACAGAGAAATATTTACCTGGAGTTGAGGAGGGTAGATGAGGTCAAGCTCAATATAAAGATGTGAGGTTCAGAGTGATTATATAAGATTTGTCATCGCTGACTCAGCTGAGTCAGCCTAACTCAGCCATCAAAAGGCTAAAAACATTGTGCCATTCTATATAGACAAGCTTTAGACCCGCACCTACAGCGCGGCACTTGCTAACACTCGGCCGTGCCTCCGGTGCTGGTCACAGCTTGCCAGGGGCACGCCCCCTGGACCCCCTGGTACACATGTTTAATCTCAGTTTTGGTACACATTTTTTATCCCAGTTCATGTTTAATCCCACTTCTGGTACACATATTTAATCCCACTTTCGGTACACATAGTTAGACTTAAACCTGGACTTATACTACAGCACTCACTTCGCTCAGTCATGCCTTGCCAGAGGTAAGCTGTTCCCCCAGCACACATGTTTGTTTCCAGTTCTGGTACCCATCTCTAATCCCTGTTTTGTTACTTACACTTTATTTCACTTCATTTGAATTTTCAAAGATACACTTTAACCTACAGTGGCACTCGTTGCACTTGGCCAGCTTGCCAGAGGCAAACCCTTGGACTATCTGATACAATAGTGGAATGCAGAGTTGATGTCACAGCCACTAAAATGGGTCACGACAACTTGTCTGCTAAATCCCACAATACAGAAAATCTGTGAAAGTTGGACTTTGTATCGCTTTCTGTCTCGAGGGCCTAACCAATCAGGCAGACTTGGGGCAGACTTCAAATTGAGACATACTTTCCTGTTAAATTACCTCTATATGTGATGCCATACCTAATTTCTACATAACAAAAATACCATTCAGTAAGAAAGAGATTGAAATTTTCACACATTTTGGGAATTTTACAGTGTTCCTCAATGTAAAAGATCTGGTATGTACAGAGCATGCCATGTGGCCATCAGGGATTTGAAACTCAGTCAAAGCTGTAGCAGGTGTGTCAATGGTCTGTTGTAGTGAGGGCATTTACCTGTTGGAGTTGATTCACTAAGGAAAGTTGTTGCGTGGTGAAAAAAAGCATAGTGTTGTGGCCACCACGTCAACTCTGCATTCCACTAATATAACAGTTGTGGTGTACATGTTGCTCAAAGTTACAGTTTCTGCACCTATGGTGTGGACCCCCAGTACACATGTATAATTCCAGTTTTGGTACACATCTTTTATCCCAGTTCCAGTGCACATGTTTAATCCCACTTCTGGTACACATATTCAATCTCCATTCTGATACATATTCCTCACTCCAGATCTAGTGTATATCTTTCATCTGAATCATCAATGTTAGGCTTAGACCTGGACACAGCAATCACTTTGCTTGGCCATGCCTGAGGCAAGCTGTCCCCCCCAGTACATATGTTTATTCCAGTTCTGGTGCACATTTTCAATCTCTCTTTTTTTTTTTTTTTGTGAAGCTATGTAGCATACAACAGTTAACAGTGTTATCCTTGTACACAAGCATCAAGGACAGGGGATTGCACCCTGTTGGAAGAATGTCAACTCACCCCAAGGAATTGTGGCTAGGCAGGCTCACACTGGAGCAGTGTGGGACTCAGAGCAGCCACATTGTGTAAAGCTAGCAGTTGCAGCCTGGAGGCCACCCTACTCTCATACCCACTAAAACCCCAGCTTCTGGTACTTTCATCTTATTAAATTTGAAATTTTAAAATTATGCTCTGACCTGCACCTATGGTTTGGCACTCACTGCAGTTGGCCAGCTTGCCAAAGGGAAGTCCCTTGGACTATCTCATAAAAATCTGATAGCTGTGGTGTACATGTTTCTCAAAGTTATACTAATCCCTGTTTTGGTACTTACACTTTATTTGAAAATTTCAAAAATACACTTTAACCTGCAGCAGCCCTGGCTGCACTTGGCCAGCTTGTCAGGGCAAGCCCCCTGGACCTCCCAGTACATATGTTCAATCCCAGTTCATTTTATCTTAATCATCAAAGTTAACCTGCCCTCATTCAAATTTTTATTCTAATCCAAATCATCAAAGTTACATTTAGATCCACACTTATATAGTCCTACATTTGGTACTGTAACTGCAGTCAGCAGTACAAAGCTGGCCATAATTTTTGATTTTTCAACACTATACCATGCACCATAAATTACAGTTCAGTAGGCCACTGATGAAAATCTGTAGAGCAACTAAAATCCACCTGAAATTTAATCAGCATAGATCTCAAAGTAGGAGAAATATACACTAACAATGAAGTGGGGGGTAAAAAACAGTACAGAAAAAGCGAAATTGAGGCTGCTCAGAGAGGTGTGACCACAAAAACACTCACAAAAAATTAATGCAGGATCTTACTATTACAGAATGAGGTTGGGAGCTACCAATACAAAATGTTCTGTGGTTGTGGTCACACCATGTGACATTCCCGGGAAACGCCGCTGACGCGGCTCAGTAAAAGACAAAGAGGCTGCTTACATGATTTATTACATAATAACTGTCAACCGTCCTCTCTTTATATATTAGATGTTAGTCTTGTTTGGATCTTTGAATGTACACATTGTTTACTTGTGGGTCTAGGAATCAAGTAGGTGGTGATGCACGGAGTAAATTTGAAATCATAGTTGAGTGTGGATGATCAAACTGATCAACACAGTAGCATTGATATTGAATGGTGGCCCCACTTGGTCTTCGTGTCGTTCTCAGTCCTTTGGCCAGCCTTTTCTTTGGCATACCCCGTCATTCTGTGACGTGCTCTCGATGCCTGAAAGGGCTATCCACAGCCACCGTGTCTAGTACTGCGGAGAATCCAAGCATCAGTGGAATGGAGTACATTCCTTTGGACGATGTTGAACACCTCAAACGTTACTGCCCTGGAGGTTATCATCCCACATGCCTTGGCGACAAACTTCACAGCCATCGGTATGAAGTCATCCACAAGTTGGGATTTGGTTCCAACTCCATTGTGTGGCTTGCGCACAACATAAAGACTCAGACATGCGTCGCCATTAGTGTTCACAAGTTCAGTTCAGTCTGGTTTTTTGCCCCCAAAACGCGCAACCGTGGACTGCAACCAGTCTAGGACCAACCCAGATATTGAGGGAACCGAACCGAACCACCTAGGACCGGTCTTTTGCGGTCTATGGAGCCGGTTCAGACCGATCCAGACCGGTTTTTTTGCGTATAATTTATTATACTAATATAAACCATTTGTATCTCAACTATTATTACTCTGAAAATTAAATGGGTTATATAAAATAGTAAAGCATGTAAATACCTGTCATTTTACCAATTTTTAAGAGATTTAATGAAGATTTGACATGGCTATGACTGAAACCGAATTACATCTCCTAGAGACTCAGGCAAAATATGGATTTGGTTATATCTTTCTCAATTCTTAACCGTTTTTGGTGAAACAAAAACCCAATAAAAGGTAATAAACGTGGTTACAAGGGTATGTAACGCACGTGACCGTTTAACCGGTTGCAACCAATCAAAACCAGTCTTTGAACGGTTTTAAAAGATTTTCGAAATGAGGCAACTGGCAACTGGACCAACCCCAAATTGGGGCAACTGCAACCGAAAAAAAGACCGGTCCATGGTCCAGTTCAGTTCGGTCCACCAGTTTTTTGCGGTCCTATGGACTGAACCTTTAAACACTAGTCACCATTAAAATCTCTGTTGCAAGTGCCGTGACCATGCACAAGGAAAGTGATATTTTGCAGATGCTCTCCAGCAAAACTACCGCCCCCTCTAGATCTTCAAAGAAGACCATGCTCCCACATATTTTAGATGAGTTTGATATTGAGGGTCCCAATGGTAGACATCACTGCACAGTTACACATCCCACAAGAATGAGTATTAATGATGCAAAGGACGCATCGTACTGCAGGCTATTCCAACTGTCTGTGGCTCACGCAACTTATCCACGGAGTTGCTTTTTTACACTCCCTAGGAATTGTTCATGGAGGTTAGTTCTCAGCAACGTCTAGACTCACCCACTATGATTTCTTTCATATATAAGACCTCCATACAGGCAACGTCCTCTTGCACCTTCCAGACAATCTCACCCCTGAGTGAGTTATTAATGAATACAGCCCACCAAAGCTCGAGCCCATTGTCTGAATTGACAGCAAACCTCTTGGCGATGTGAGCCACATACCTACTCAGGCAGTCGTCCCAATCTGGCTTGGGGAATGCAGTGAGCTACTTTCCCTTTCCGATGCTTGTATCCTCCTCACTGACTTTGGGGAGTCATTCATGCCCTCTCGCACACCCCGATACTACTCCAACACACCTGCCATCCTCCGCCCACCTGAGGTCTACTCTCTCCCAAAAGAGCCAGTGTCTTTTCCGGCTGATATTTGGACCCTTGCATGTGCCATATACTCCATCCTTAGTCAACACAAATTGTTTGAGGGGCTTATGCCTGATGACAACTGGATGATTCGCGAACATGTTGATGCTCTGGGGAAGCTTCCCCTGAAGTGGTGGGATGCCTGGGAAGGAAGGGCAGAATGGTTCAACGAGCATGGAGAGAGGATTGATGGTCAAAAACGGTGGTTTTCGGAAGACCGTTTTGAGCAGTCTATTCGGGCTCTAAGGAAGAAGAACAGTATAGAGGAGTTTGGGGATCAGGAGGAGAGGGCGCTCTTTGTTATGCTTAAGGGGATGCTGGCTTATGACCCACAGCTGCACCCGACAGCTGTGGCACTGTTGGATTCGGAGTGGATGAGGAAGTGGGGGATCCCAGAGCTGGAAAAGATGAATCTCAAGCTGTGGTAGGATAGTGTTTGTCCTTACAGTCGAAATTTAAATTGATATATACCACAAGTGTTGCTGAAAGTAGTCTTGAACAAATTTCTGCATTCTTCCTCTCTAAACATAATAAGTGTGATTGAAATCTTTTTCAAAGTTCGAAGAGCTAGGTCTCTTTCGTTTGTATCTCCGAGGGTGTTTTTTTTTTCACTTGTGGAAGCAAGTACTATGCCCTATCAGTACCTCGGCACCCCTTCTCAGTCGGCACATTTTTTAGTTTGAACCCTTCCACCAAACCTCTTGCCACAAAATTTTAGAGAAGGCCTCCTGGTCCTAATCCAACCTATTTCCGCTTCTCTCCGTCCAAAAACACAATGAATTGACAAAGTTCTTTTATTTCGGCAGTCACAATCTGTCACGTTCTTCCGCCAAAAAATGTGACGTTTTGTGACTGCCGACTGAGTGGGGGTGCCGAGGTCGTGGTAGGGCGTAGTATGTAGTATTTACAGCGGATGTCCCTGGTTGCTGTGCCACGGTGATACCACTGATTTCGCATGGCTCCGCGATCAGGAATCAGTGGTATATAAAACTCGCACTTATGCAGACCAAACTTTCCCTCGACAGGCCGGTCTTGTTCAACTGCCCCATCCCCGCAGTTCGTCAACGTCTTCCCCTCCTCACCGCCCTCCCCCTCCCTCCCTACACCCGGAACAGGCTGAGCCTCGTTCATCCACACCTCGAAGACCACCCACACCCCGCTGGACGATACCCGAACCGCTGGCCGATCCATCTGCTCGAATAATTTAGCTTGACCACCTCAATCATGTCCATGTCACCAACAACCATTGTTCGACCCCCGAGAGCACCTTCACTGGACGTCTTACTCTCCCTGCCCCCGGCGCAGTACACGCGCCTATGCTGCTTTTGCATCCCAGCGCGTGTTGCGCTATTCATAACGGCGGCAGTGTTGTTCATCCTGTCCACGTCGTTCGTTACAGTCGGTTGGGTGATTGTCAATAAACTTAGTATGTCCGCCCATATACATCACCGCTCATCAGCCTCACCTATCATTTTTTTCAAATTGTCTAGACGACTATGTAACGGACTTACAGCGACTCTCCATAGTCTTCCACATCTTCATCTATATCGTCTTGGCCGCATTCTGCATCTTTGGGTTCGTCCCTTCCTATCAATCTCCTTCATACTCCCACTGACCCTTGCAATTTAAAAGCATATTCTCCGCGCTCAGCAAAGACGCTAAACTTCCCAGTCTATTCACCTCCTTCATCCTGGGACAACTCCTCTTTGGGTGGGGATCAGGCGCTGTGTGCTTATACGTCCTCTTCTCCCCCTCTACGGCCCTTCAGAACATCGGGTCGTGCTCCAGCATAGTGGACGACCAGTTCCTGAAACTCCTATGTGAACGGGCGCCGGTGTTCAAGGGCCTGGCGGTTGCGTTCTTTGTGACTACCTGGATTTTGGAGATCTGTAGGTTTTTCATGCTTCATAGGGGTGATTGATTTACTTACTTTCGGACGTTACAGTGGCCATCTATGCCTCTTGTCAATACACGAGACAGTTGCATGAAGAAGCTGTTAGATTGGAGGTTTTGGAGCCGAAGGGAGACCGTGACTCGTTCTACGTATGATTGCTAGGGACGCTATGTGATACCAAGCGATTGCTGGGACGCTATGCGATACCAAGCGGTTGCGGGGCTGCATACGATACCAAGTGATTGCTGGGACGCCATGCGATACCAAGCATTTGCTGGGCCGTTATGCGATACCTTACACGTTTTCGGGTTCACTCCAGCTCCAGCACCAAGTTCCAGATTAGATTATCGGGATGTCGTTGTGCGTAGTTGTGTTCGATTGAGCCAGTTCAAGTATTTTCCTACCTGACAGTTGAAGCTGAGATGCATTGAGCTCTCTTCTTGGGATGCAGCTCTTGGTGAGAATTGCCGCCTATTTGTTTTGAGAGGCGAATTTGTCGGAGACGGTATATGATAAATCCTATGTACGCTCTGACCAAAATAGAAAGAGGTCGAAAGTGGCTGACACGAATTCTGGTTTCACCTAGTTTGACGGATGTCTACCAAGCGCACAATCCACAACCCCATGGCGTCCTTTCTCCAACTCCTCTTCCTAACCGTTTCAATCCACACCATATCCATAACCGCTCTATCATCAACAAACAACACAGGAATCTGCTCCTCAAACAACACCATCTTCGATCCCTCCACCCACAAACTCGTATCCCAATGTTCCGACCACACCTTCTGCTCCGCACCAATCAACGGAATGTGTATCCCCCGCCTATGCAGACGCGACGAGTTCCCATTCGGATACGGTCCCAGTGAAGCACCGCCACCCCTCTGTCCGCAAGGATTCTTCTGCCCAGACGACGGTAGTGGATGTCTGCCTTTGGTTAGCGTAGGCGCGCCCTGTGAGCCGAACCGCGACGAACAGTGTTCGCCTCCGTTGGATTGGCAGGACTTGGCGAGTTTTCAGAATTATAATGGTTCGATTTGTTTGAAGTCGACTTGCATGTGCGTGAAAGTTTGGCTTTCGTCGTTGATGCATTGTGTGTTGAGACAAGTCACCTGCAGGTATGCTAACATCACACTCGGGCAGAACTGCATCGTAGATAACACGACTTACACCGATACCGGTCCAAATGGCGAGCAATACATGTTCACCGTCACGAGGGATAACTGCCGCTCGCCTCAATTCTACTGCGATCCGGGGTCTTCGGCCTGTCAACGGGCTAAAGCAGTAGGGGTGGCATGTCAGCTTGACTCTGAATGCGAAGAGGTGTGTTCAGCTTTTCGTTTTCTGCCTACCTGGCTTTCATAGGCGAATTTCAGCGAAATTGCAACTCGGCGAAAGTCTGTGTAGAACCTCCAGAGACGCCCCTACGCGTAGCACCGTGGCAGTGGGGGCTGACGATTGGGTCAATACTTGCAGGTGCGTCAGTTATCCTTCTGTCGCCAACTAATAGTTGAAGGACGAATTAGCCATGGTCGTGATATGCATCCTACTCACCCTCATCCATCGGCGACACCGGTATGCTCGCTATAAGGAGTTGCAGGAATACTATCATGATCAGATAGGGTATGTGTCCTCCATATCAGCTCCTTCGTATCAATGGGCTCATCAAGAACGAACGTAGTCTGCGCCGGTCGATTATTACGTTGCATACAGCAGCTGCGGATCGGTACCACAACGAGTAACGCAATAGTTCACGCTTCTTTTTGGATTAAGTCATAGAATGTATTCGTATATCCTGGCTTCCAAGGGTAAAAAGCGGCTCCATGATATATGGCTATAAGATATACTGGAAGAAAACATCAGTCATGAAAAGAAGATGTCAACCCCAATCCATAGAAGCAAAGATCTGTCAGAAAGGATAATCCGCATGCGCGGAGATAAAACCGGACATAGATCGTTCTACTCCCAGAGAATACTTCATGAGACATGAAGAACTCCTCTAGAGCGTCATCTGGCCCCGGCAGATATCATCATAGGATGCTTTGTGGAAGGAGGGGAGAAAAGAGTGGAGATACGAGAACTCACATATAGGATGTAGGTATGATGACCAGGGATGGTAGTACAAAAGATCCTTCGATTGTCCATACTAGTCGTCCTCGTCATCTTCTTGGTCAGTCAGTTCTTCTCCTTGTCTAAGCCCGTGATGGCGGTCATAGCCTTCGCGGCGTGCCCAGGAACGTCCATCTGTGTAAGGATTTATGCGAAACGGCAATATGAGGGTGTATAGAGGGCTATCAAGAGGAAGATCGTGAGGGCCTTGAAGGGATATGATTGAGCGAGACTTACTATCCGTTTTCCCAAACGTTGAAAAAGAGTTGCGCGTTCTTCCATATACTGCGAAACAAGATTTCGGAAAAGGGCTAGCGATCATCATTCAGAGACATACCCGAGATTGTAAGAATTGATGAAACTCTAACAAGAACATAAGCTCAGAGTAGGTAGTGCAAACAAAAGCTTACTTCGCCCCGGTCCCTAGCTTTTCTGCGATATTCTTCGTGGTCCTGGGCCTCGACCGATGTTTCTCCCGAGGAGATACCCCAGAGGTGGTATGCCAGCATAACTCCAACGGCTAGACAAAGAACCACGGAAAGGATGTATATCATTGCGTACATGACTTCGGGGACGTTGTAATGCCAGTCCTGTTTGGTGTCAGAGGAGGATTTGCAAAAGATGCAGAAACCTACGTCGGACATCACCCCAAGGGACTCAAAGAGTTGTCGGTATCCCAGAGCGCTAAAGCAGAATGTGGAAATGACCAGGTACACCCTAGAGCTAGCGTAAGTTTCATCATATTGCTATGGTGAATTGGACTTACATGAATAGAACGAAATGTCGTTCATTATGAAGGCCGACGCATTGGTTTATCCCTGGCGTCTATCTCAATACCCAACCTTAGAGAAAAGATGAGTATACTCACACTGAAGCCTTTCATAAGTTGGTAGACAGACGGGGCAGAAACGGGTATCTCACTGGACAATGGTGATCGTACTTCAAAACACATTTGTTGCAAATACGGCAGTGGTGGGCTCTCTCAAATGCGCCAGAAAGGCAAAGTTAGCACGTATTCGTTGAACTATAGAAAGAAAACACACCTCCTGCCTGATCTTGTTGCACCTGCTACAACGTGTCGAAGTGGCTTGTGTTATTCTAATCCCGCCAGAGGACCACCGCACACCCGTCAACATGCCTTTCTTGGTTCGCTTTTGCGCCCATAAGAAGCTGGTACCCGCTTCTCGTGGTGGCTCGTCCAGAAATCCCGGGCGAATCGTGCACACGTAAAAGTAGTGCATCACCAAGTTCACTGCGACTAGGATGCACGCCGGCATCGTCACTATTGGAAATGAAAGCGACGGAGCTATCACATCGACTGTTCGTAAGGTCCATTAGCTCTTTTTTTTCCTTCTAAAACAAAGAAATCGACTCACAAAAGCAGAGAATACCGCTGCCAATGAGAAATACTGCCAGAGCAATGAAGTATGGTCCTGCTGCTCCTGTGATTCTATTGCCCCATCTTTCCAGCGTCTTGAAGCATCGGAAAACAGTTCTTGTGCAAATCATCGCGCACGTTCTAGGTGAATGCCACGAAGGCGCCTACACAGTTGCAAGTAGTCGTTGGCCAACGTATACCAACGCCTTCGTCACATGACTACTTTATAACACGGCTATTGTTCATCATGATCATGAATTGACCACTATGTAGTTATTCATTTACATGTCAAAAACTAGATTCGCTACACTGAATCAAAGCCAATGCAGCGTTCGAACGGGGTTCAATCACGCATTTGAAAGGCGTGAAGTATCTAATGATAACGTCAATAGGCTGCGAACGACAATTCTAGTCGCAAAATGACTGACGATAAGAATCCGCCAGTGGTGTTTGCCTCGAGGGGTATGTGGTTTCCTGCGTCGTCAACTGGCGGTTTAATATTGTAGACAGCTAGCACGTTCGAGACAGCCACGTAAAGAGAACTATCACTGAGTGACCTTCCCGGACATATTCTAGAACGCCAGGGGGGAAAATTGCAACGACTCTTCTTTAGAGTGTGCGCGCGACAGGCAAATGTCACTCACCGGCGTCCAAAACCAAAGGCTGCAACTGTGGGACTGCGAACTCTTGGATCTAGGCGACCATTTTTAAGGTAGCGCTCAGGTTTGTACTCAAGCGGATCCGGAAAGACATTTGAATCGTGCATCAGTGTCCTAATTGTGAAACTGTTCATGGCTGCAAAGACTTCGCTCAAGGAACTTACCAGGTGTTTCCTATAACAATAGTGCCTTTCGGAATGAAATAACCATCGTATTCGTCATCCTCAACGGATGCATGCGGGATACCTACCCGACCTAGTGAGCGGCCAACAGTTCGAGGTATGTGGTTACCCTTACCAATGGGAGTGATGGAATGCCATCTGAGAGTTTCCTTGACTATAGCGTTGATGTAGGGCAAGTTCTCCCGATCATTGAAGTCAGGCAGGCGATCTGGACCGATGACAGTGTCAATTTCCTCCTGCGCCTTGTGTTGTACATCTGGATGCATGGCCATCGTCAAAAAGAAGGCTTGGACAGCGGCAATCGTCTGGAAAAATTGTAAATTCCCTGTTGGGTGATAACTTTGGGGTCTCACCGTATCAGAGCCAGCTTTTCCCAAAACGTCAATTCCAAAGTCAAAGGGACTTGCAAAAGCGACCTACCAGCATACGCCACTGCGGTCACACCCTTGGCCATCGCTTCTTCTTCCTCTCGTTTTGGATCCCCTTCGTCTGGTAATTTTGCTATCAATGATTGAAGTACAGAGGGCCGAGCTTTTCCTTCTTTCTAAATTCTAGCATGAGCAAATCAACTTTTTGTGAAAGAGGCGCTGTTCTTGCCAAGTCCTCAATGACTCTTCGATATGGTTTTTCGAGCAAACTAGAGAAAGATGCTCTCCATCGCTCTGCCTTTTTCTTGAAGCCGGCGCCAGGAAACCAACTAGGAACATACTTCAATATGGGAATTAGATCGACCAAGAATGCTCCAGGAGCTGCAGCTTCAATAAAAGCCTTCCAACACTTCCTCCGCAATTGACATATAAGGATCGTTGGAATCTAAAACTGTGATTCCGTATGAGATGTCCATGATTGTGCTGGCAAAAAGGCTATTCCGCCATTTGAGGTTAGATATTTGGTGACTCCGTATACGCAAGGAACAACATACTGTTGGATATGATGCATGAAATCATCAGGCGTAGCCGATAGTCTACGAAGAAAGGACTTGGTTGCTTCCAATTGGATAGGTTGATATTTGGGTATGATGTTTGAATGGAAGTGCCCATGAAATGCCTTCCGGTGTCTCCGCCACATGGCTCCATACGGCATTAACGAGAATGCCCATCCAGCTCCCATTCTAAGATCACAATGAGCATTCGTTGGCACAAGCTCATGAATAGCCTACAGATCGAGGAGCATTGGAAAGTTTTGGGCCCTGCTGGAATAGTTGGATTTTTCGAAGATATCGTTTGTTCTCTTCAAAGAGCCCAAAACGAGGAATGACCGACCGAGCGCTTCAAAGTAGACCATGTCCCCTGGAACGTTTGAATCGTCGTTGGTCTTCAACATGCTGGAGATCCCTCACCATACAATTGAAACCACTTGTCGTAGAGAAGCCATATTTCGTCCGTCGACAGCGCGAAAAGGCTGCCAACGACCGGGTAACCCTTGGGTCCTGGAGGGAGCGGGAGTCGTTTCGGGTTCGATGTCCTGAAAGGTGCAATGACTCTTGTTGCCCAGACACCTAAAATAATCCCCCCAACCCAGAGGTAGATTTGTGATGGAATGCCCATGAGGAGATCAATGAAGCCCGTGAGGAGATCGATGAAACTCAGATTTGGCCCTTCAAAGGGAACACCTCGTGAACACCTCTTGGAATTCTAAACATTGACGTGGGAACGGTAGACTAGGCCTAAACAGCTCCACATTGACACTGACCAGTGACAGGGCAGTCAGCGGCGACTCAGCGCTTCAAAACGGCGCCACAACCTGCCACAACCCATCCACGGAACCAAGAAAGAAAATCTGGTCGACAGAGGCCAGTACTCAAGTCAAAGCTGATGCAGTTTTTTTGGCTGGGGATTCCAAGGGGATTCATAGAGAGGGAATTCGGGATGTCTATTAGCGATGCTCCCTTTCAAGGACATACATAGTCTGCTTGTCGCCTTCTTGCAGCAATGCCAAGGCCTATGTAGAGGTTTCGGCCCCGGCTGACATCGGAAGCCGTAGCCAAACAGATGCATCATCGATCATCATGCTAACAACATTCGCGCTCTTCCTTAGATCTTTCTGTATTTGACTTCAAAGGGCAACAGCAGCTCACATACGAACTTGAAATACCCACGATTTAGTTGCCCCAACGCCAAGGTCAGGTTGTCAAGGCTCACATTCGTTCGAATCAAAAGCTCAATAGGCCTACTAGATATGGGACTTTTCGACGTCCAGTTCACAGCTGACATGCACTGTCACAAGACGACATCTTTTCGGAACGATAAGGTAGCGCCACAAAGCGTCTCCCGGGCATATTTTTTCTCATGGTCGACTACTTATATATACAAAACTAAAGCACCACGTCGAGCTCCAGGCTGAAGCGCTCCCCCCTTTCCAGCATGTACGGCAACATACCTAGTTTCATTGTCGGCCCCGCAATCTTGGTCATGGAGACAACCCAATCTCATCCATGGCTCACTGCCGCGGGCCTGATATCTTGTCTGTGGTTTTTGAAGAACATTGGAGGAAAGAAGTTGAATCCCAACCGACTTCCTCATCCCCCAGGTCCTAAGGGCCTTCCCTTTCTGGGAGCTATGTTTGAGGTGCCCTCACTAAGTCAGAAACCTTGGCTCGTTTATGATAAGTGGTTCAAGACATACGGTCAGCCTTGCGCTAAACTTTGCTGCACTTGACTAATCTATCTACTAGGCGACATCATATACTTCGAAATCCTCGGCCAACCGTTCATGATTTTGGGATCTCTGAAAAGGACGAACGATATATTTGACAAGAGATCATCAAATTACTCGGATAGGAAGCTTAGCTCAATGCTCGAGTTGTACGTCTCCTTCCCAACTTGAAATGTTTATATCTACGCCTGAACTGCTAGACAGGATGGGTTGGACTTTTAGTGTGGTGCGGATGCCTTATGGTACCATGTGGCGACGGCACCGCCGTGCATTTCACGAACACTTCCATGTGAACGCCGTCCAGAAATATATACCCATCCAAACGAAAGAGATTCAGGTTTTCCTTAATCGGCTTCTCATGACACCCGAGAATTTTATACACCACATTCGACAGTGCGACATATCTACTCCTATTTCATCGTTCAACTAATATCTTTCCAGCGCTTTCGCAGCCACTGTCATGAATATCTCCTACGGTCTGACAGTTCTGGAATACGATGACCCATATATTACCAATGCTGAAGAGTCCTTGCGAGGCCTCACTGAAGCCGGTGTTCCAGGCGCGTTTTTAGTGGATCTTCTTCCGATATTGAAACATGTGCCAGCTTGGTTCCCTGGTGCTGGTTTCAGAAGAAAGGCCGCTCACTATGCCGTTGTGAATACTGACCTGGTAGACCTGCCATTCAAAGCTGTAAAGAGGGAAATGGTCAGCCACTCGTTCCGTTCCACTGGCTATAGACTAAGTCAAAAATACTCTTTCAGGCAAAGGGAACTGCTGTACCCTCTGTACTAACCTCTTTGCTTGAAGAATTTCCTGGAAATGAGGGTCTGGAAAAAGAAGAAGAAGAGTTCATTTCTCGGAATGTTGCAGCGATAGGGTATATTGGTGAGCAAAATTGTGGGACGGAAACCGATATAGTTTACGATTTTGTGGATAGCGGGAGTCGATACCGTATGTCGTATCTTTGTGCTGCCTTTGGATGTGACCTACCTTCCGTCAGACGGTCTCAAGCACTGAAACATTCTTTTTGGCCATGGCCATGTATCCAGAAGCTCAGAGAAAGGCACAGGCGGAAATTGATGCCATCGTTGGGACGAATCGCCTTCCTGACTCCAATGACCGCCCCCACCTGCCTTACGTGAATGCAATAATCAAGGAGTCGATGCGTTGGCAATTAGTTGTTCCCCTCGGTTAGAGTCCTTCGTTGAACGTCCGTTTCCGAAAATTTTCATAGTCCACAGGCGTTGCACACATGGCTACCGATGACGATGAATACGAAGGTTATTTTATCCCGAAAGGTACGGTTGTTATAGGAGCTGCGTGGTGAGTTGTGCGTTGATGTGAAGAATGCTCAGCGTTGACAAGTAATTCATAGGTCAATTTTGCATGATCCCGAGGTGTTCGAAGCTCCCGGGGAATTTAGGCGGGAGCGCTACCTCAAGGACGGTCAAATCAACCCAAGTGTTAGAGATCCAGGAGTCGCAGTCTTTGGCTTTGGCAGGCGGTGAGTGACTGTGAGCAATTCAGTATCAAAATCAGTCACTGAAAGCTGGGCTCCAGGATGTGTCCTGGGAAACATTTGGGCGATGTTTCTCTCTATTCTGTAGTCTCGTCCGTTTTGGCAGTATATAATATCAGTGCGCCCATGGATGAATTTGGAAGACCTGTGCAGCTGCAGGCGAAGTATAAAAGCGGCTTTTTGTCGTATGTCTGTTTCTCCTGAATATGACGAGCTTGGATCACGAATTCGTTCATTCACTTACAGATCTCCCGTACCTTTTAAATGCACAATCCAGCCACGGTCCAAGGTTGCGGAATCATTGATTCGGGGCTCCAGCGATTGACTGTCTTAGATGTACTGTTTGCATTTTTCTTTTACTCTGCCAAGAGACTGAAAAAAATGTGCTGGATCTTCAAAAAAATATCCGAAGGAAACGGACGGATTGCGAGTGATGAATCTCAAACGTGGACCCCATCCGAGTCCGAGTCGCTTGCGATGCAGCGGCCAGCGTGTTATACGCCTGTATTCCAAATTCCAATTTGCAATGCCGTCGGTTTAGTATACATTACCCACTATCACCCACCTAAGGATGTAGTGCGAGCCCCGGTCATAGTTTGGTTCCACATGGTCAAGCTTGGTCGCAGTCAAGTCGTCGCCTTGTTGCAAGGCCGTTGATTGATGACAAATATATATCCAAACTCTCACCTCAACAAGATTGACCCGGGAACTCTTTTACCACTTGGTTCTGTCAAGTCGAGAGGAGTACTATTTCACCTTCTCCAATGGTTTTCCGACTGCATTCCTGTTGGGTATCTCCTTGGTATCTCCCTCTTGCAATAGTGGTGGTCTGAAGCCAGCATCAATTACCCAAGTTGAACGAGGCGAACCTGCGGGTGTTGCCAGGTGGTGATCATCATCTCCCCCCTGGTGAACCATCCATAGGGCGCTTTAAGTTCGCTGGCCGGGATTGTCGGTCCACCATTTACTATCCGGTTCTCCGCAATCCCATATTTCGCCAATGGGTCAGCTTTGAAAGCCGAACGATAAGAATCATGATGGAAAACATTCCCGAGGAGACCGTTTCGAGGCTCAGAGCGTCCAATTTATCCCCGTCCGGCAGAGGTTACTTTTACTGGGCGGCGTATCGACACCTGCCTGGGACGACGAAGGATCTCGGAAAATATCTATAAAGAGAACCTGGCTTGGCGAAATAGCTGCTTTTCTACTCGACATGGTCGTCCCTCCCGTTGCCGTGCTCCTTGTTTCTTGCATCTGTTTCCCTTCGTCTCTTGCTGCGTTGTATACTGAGCCCCGTCAGCTACCGAGGCATACCTACGACTATGTCATCGTTGGAGGTAAGTTCACACAATGGTTATTCGGAGGAACATAATTGATTCAACCCGTCTTCCAGCTGGAAATGCCGGAAATGTAATTGCAAGTCGACTTTCTGAAGATCCTAGAACTTCTATCCTTGTCCTCGAAGCAGGTGTAAGGTACTGTTTGCTCTATTTAGCCTTATCATCTTTTCAAGAGTCGCTTTATTAGCAACGAGGGCGTCATGGCGGGCGTGGTTCCTCTCTTGGTACCAACACTCACGCCCAATATGTGATCAAACTGCCTGCCCGCCTTTTGGAAACGAGACTGAACATCTGTTAGATACTCCTTACGACTGGAATTATACTGTTACACCTCAGAAAGGGCTCAACGGGCGCACTTTTCCGTACAATCGCGGGAAGATTCTGGGAGGGAGCAGCAGCGTTAGTGAGTCGCAAGGTTTGCATTGATTAATTTCAAGTATTCAAGATTGCTTTTATAAGACTACATGGTCCACCAATACGGTTCCTCTGAAGACTATGACAAGATTGCTGAGATTACTGGTGATGCCGGATGGAACTGGGACAACGTTAAGCGAAATATCGGCAAGGTGCTATTCTCGAGTCTATTCATTACCAGTTTTCCTCAACGCTAGATTTCAGCATGAAAAAATAGTACCGCCAGCTGATGGCCATGACACCACCGGACAGTATATACCAGCCAACCATGGGACCAATGGGATGTTATCAGTCAGCCTCCCTGGCAGCTCCCAGCTGATTGATTCTCGGGTAATTGCAACGACCAGAGAATTGTCGGAAGAGTTTCCCTTCAATGAAGACATGGGGGCGGGGATGTGCTGGGCATCGGTTGGGTTCAGGCATCTATCGCTGATGGACAGCGTAGTAGTTCTGCAACAACCTACCTCGCGGCCGCCATCAATCGACCCAATGTTCACGTTCTCCTAAACGCTCATGTAACAAAGCTATTGCGTACGGGAACCATTCAAGGTGTACCGTCATTCCGTTCCGTAGAGTTTGCCGGCAAGCCGGGCGGTGAGCTGCGGGATTTTGTGGCAAATAACTGATGCTCATTGTTCTGTACAGCTCCATCCATCATCGTGACAGCGAGAAGAGAGATCGTCCTCTCAGCTGGCTCTATCGGTACACCTCAGATTCTTCTCCTCTCTGGGATTGGTGCGAGAGACGAGCTAGAGGCTCTCGGAATTCCCGTCGTAGTCGAGAACCCGTCCGTAGGAAAGAACCTCTCTGATCACGTTCTCGTTCCCAACATCTTTCGTGTGAAGGATGGTGAGAGCTTAGACGCGCTTTTCCGGGATCCCGCTTTGTTCAAGGCGGCTTTGGACGAATGGATGGAAACTAAACGGGGAGTCCTTGCTAGCAGCATGCTGAATCACATGGGATATTTTAGGCTTCCATCGACGTCGAGCATCTTTTCCACCATATCTGATCCCGCCTCGGGACCTAAAGCATCACATTGGGAACTTATAGTCACTGTAGGACTTGTTTCTCTTCATTCGAGTGTTGAGGTAACCTCCAATTGATCTAGAATTTCTACATCAATCCCAAGCCTGGCCACATACCTCCTGAAACCGGTAGCTACCTTGGCCTTGTGTCAGCCCTCATTTCGCCGACATCTCGTTCGTTTCTATCACCTCTTTCCAGAAGAGTAATGGCTGACGCTCCCTTTCCTTGTAGGCGGTTCCGTGACTCTCGCCTCAGCTGACCCCTTTGCTCATCCCTTGATCGATCCCAACTACCTCACAACTCCTTTTGACATATTTGCGATGCGGGAAACCGTCAGAGCCGTAAAACGTTTTGCTGCTGCGGAAGCTTGGAAAGATTACATCATAGCACCCTTTGGCAATTTCTCCTCGGACGTGGACGCTGATCTTGATGCCTACATTCGTGACCAGGCGAGCACGGTCTACCATATGGTCGGCACAGCCAGCATGTCTCCTCGTGGCGCGGAATGGGGTGTCGTTGACCCAGATTTAAAAGTAAAAGGCGCTGAAGGGATACGGATCGTGGATGCTTCTGTCCTGGTATGTCCTCCTGTCTTTTTTTGTTTGTTTGTCCATGAGTTCAGACCCGTCCAGCCCTTTCCACCGAATGCACATACACAAGGTCCGGTATAGTTGCTGGCTGAAAGGGCGGCGGAGCTATTTGCACCAGGAAGCATGGATGATCTCTAACCGCTCTATCAAGGGGGAAAGCATTTTTCTTTACACAAATGGGTCAATAACTTGTCTTGCCAGGTGTACAGTGATTGTGCACAACGTAAAAACCATATCTTGAACCTCTCCATTGTCTCGGATTCAGTCCTGTGCTCAGTTTGCATTGCGAATCACTGCCATCAGCGCCTTGAGACATCGTAGTGCAACTGAAGACGGTCAGCAGAGCTTCCCGCTTCAATAAAGAATGGATTGAAGGTATCTTCTGTGCGCCGCGGGATCGATGACTAGAATCTTCCGTTCACTAGACCTCCATCGTCTTTCCATCAACTGTGGAGCTGCAATGCCCATCATGCGTCCACACCAGCCGAAGATGTTTTTGAGGCATTAGGCAGGGCTGACGTATCAGACTTCGTCTGAATCCTGGTTGGCAGGCTGGATATTGAAACGAGTGGTGCGTCGATGTCCTCGGGAAGATGCACATCACGGAGTAGTGCTGTGAACAAGGCCTCGAGCTGAGGCGGTGATGGTTTAATCCTTGGAAGACAGGGGAATGTAACTAGCACTGATAGTCGGCTCTGAAAAGACGGGTCGTTTTGGCATCTTGATGGCCAACGACTTTCTCTTGACTGCAGGCGTCAAAATGGGTGTGATTTCCTACACGCGGGTGGCACGCGATTCTGTCGATGACGCGATGAACGCTGGCAGGCGACGGTATTTTGCAAAGTAATGGTCGTTTGGGTCGTGCGCTGTGAGGTGTTGCCTGCTCAAACGATGTGTCCTTGTCCTCTGGGGGAAAAAAAGAACCTACATACCTCAAACATCAATTCCCTCACATTTAGCGGACAGGCTGGTGCTGGGCCGTTGCATTGGTGGCAAGGCAAGGAGACCAAAAGGAGACCTAAAATAGCGAACAATACTAATTAGAGTCCGCAAATAACCTTCAACAACATTGAAAGCAACCTCCTCAAGGCCATTACGAGCCTATTCCCCCCATGCCAAAACCCGACCGATCGATCGACCTCACGGTGACGATTCGATATCATGGCGTCAAGGCCACCGCGTACTTTTCAAAGTTCACCGGAGAGTCCATCAAGGTCGTTCGGGGAGATATCGCAGCTCTAAGAATGCCCCAGCCCAAGACTACGAGCTTTGAGCTTGTGTCCCATGGTTGTGTAGAGTTCGGGTGGGATTTGATGTTTGCGGAGAATGTGCGTCCACTTTTTTGATATGGTGTCGTGGAGTGGAATGGCTGATGCACGAATTCGAACTTCGACTTAGGTGATCCATAAGTCCTTGAAACAGAAGATTATCCCCCCTCGTCTTGAGGACAAGCAGGATTTGCAGGAACAGCTCAGAGAGTTGTCAATGTATATCTTCATTCCAAATGTCATGAATGATGCGCTGATATGTTCATAATTTAGCACCAAGATAAGTCTTAGAGAAACGTAAGTCAACGTGTATCTAATAAACAACCTGCACATCTCAATTCCCATTTTCAGCCCATCTTTCACAGGTCATGCGAAGCCCATCGTCCCTCGGAAGCGACCTTCTGATCACGAGGCACACATGAAGGAACTAGGCGAGAAGCCCATGTCAACTTCTAGAATCACTCGACAATCATGGATAAAGTCAGAACTCGCGCCACAAACCATACCCACGGCTGCTAGACCTCACGCTCCACGGCCCACCCCTAGCATGTCCATCGCATCGATGTCGCAAGATGAGGATATTCGGCCTGCTAAGAGGCTGAAAACGGAACCTAAGGAGCCTGTATTACGGTTTACGGTACGTCCGTCGGTCACCTATAATCACGGTCCTGACACTTTGATACGTCGCAGCCCTCGCCTAGACCCAGACAAAGCCAGTCGTCGGCTCAACAGCCAACACCTTCGCTTACCCAGGTTCAAGTCCCTTCGCCCCAGTCTACGCCTCCAGCGGCTCTCAATCTTCCTTCTACGCAAGAACCCAACGAGCTTAGCACCAATGTTCGTATCCGACCATTTCCACTCACAGCTTTACTGATTCGTTCCTTAGAGGGCTGGCAGAGTTTCGCAGGCATCAAGCGCTGTCTCCCGTGTTGTCCAAGGACGAGAAAGGACACCACCACCACTACAAACAACCCCGTCAAACCCGCCAGAGGACCAGTCGATGACGAATCCCCCAACAGCAACAATCCCACCAAACCCGCCAGAGGACGATCCAATGACAGTTCCTATTTCGACGAACGACGTCTCAGACGTTATTCCGCAGCAAGAAAGGTCCTATCCCGTAACAACCATTCTACCAACCGCACAAGAGAATCAAGCGATGACAAATTCCACCTCAACGAACGAAACAACTCCACCAATAGGACCAGACGCCGAACGCACCACAACCCTCGCCACCCCCACCATGCCCATGGCCTCCAGAACATCCCTCGCCGCCATCACCGGCCGACCCCCCAACTCAAGCGACTTGCCCAAGATCCAAACGCTCTCGCGAGAACTCTGGGATATACGGAGGAAGTTAACAGCAGACGGGGTTCGCGAATCAGTAATTGTGGACAAGCTGAAGCTCCTGCACGCCGCTTACGTTCCAGAGCCAATGTCCACCAGTTCCGATAGGGCACTTCGTACGTTTCCCTCTCTTTCTTCCGCTTGAGTGATGAACGGACCGTTAATGAGTTGGATTATAGAGGTTCTCAAAACGCGATTGAGGGAAATCGAGAAAGACCTGGAGAATGAACGTTGCTTGCGCTTGAAGGCTGAGGCGACGCTTCAGGATATTCGGAGGGAGTGCAAGGCTCCGTTTGTGGTTCCGGCGTTGCTAGATGCGTTCATCTCAATATCGAACTTGACAACGCAGGCGCTGCAGCGTTCAAAGGAGAGTTGATCTTCTTGATGAGGTTTTGAATCTGTCGTCTTTGTTTTTTTTTTGCGTTATCTTGTCATTTATCTCCATATCTACATGGTACTACTATTAGTACCAATACACAATTATTGTCCATATGGTTTCGAACATACTTGCAGTCTGCCATAGTTTTAAGATGGGAATACAACTAAGAATCCCATGATATTTGCATTTTGGAGCTTACTTGAACTAAATTTCAAATGTACATGGTAAGCATACTATGGGGAAAAATACGGGAGGCCTCCAATCAACATATGCCTACTTACTCATGTGCCCATTGGCCAAATAGCTGGCTCTGTCCAGTGGTATGTTCAATGTCCATACACAAGTGATATCATATCAGTCTTCTTAACCATTTTTCTTTCCTTCAATTTTTATTGTCTCTCTCAGCATTCTAAATGTTCCTGACTCTGATGCATATGTATTTGCTCATTACTACCTAGCATTTTACTGACATGCTCTGCATCCAGATCCATAACACTGGTGAGTGTTGTCTCTCTGAGACTTCTACTTTCTGCATTGAGGTCATGAACCTTGCATCAACCATGGACAAACCAATTGTAACATGGGCTATGTTGGTAAATTCAGTTGTTCTCTGCACTTGCATCTCTGTTCACATGGATGTTGATATGCATGCCTATGCCATACACTCATGCCAATGGAGATGCACTCACATGGGTACCAACACCTCAAAGTATCTTCTTACCAATTTGAACTGCTCACTATGAGTGACAACAACATTCTCTTTCATTAATAACAGACTTTATTAGTACATGACTTTGCAACAGATAAATTTAATTTGAGACAACTGTCAGCACTAAGAAGTCTTCCTCGCAGTGAGTCATGCCTGTCAATTTACTCCAATTTTACCATGACACTAGCACTGGACACATGACAAGATAATTTGTGCTGATATACTCTAAAAATATCTTTTGAAAGTTCCTTATTTTTTCTCTGTTTTCTGGTAAAAAACATATAATACATCTACAAAGATTGTTTTCAATGAATGAAAACCAAATACTTATGAAACATGTTAAAAACTAGAGGTTGACTTCATCAACAAAACCTTGCATCTGTATTGTAGATACATTAGTAAGGGTTCTTAGTACACCCTCAGCTTCACCCAATGAAAAACTTCCAAAATGTATGAATTGAACTTGTTCTACCTGTTCCCATTAGCAGTCAACATAAACCTCATTTTTAATCTTATCCTGTTATTTTTTTTGTTTCTTCATGAGAACTCCATTGGAGCATTGAAATTGAATATCTCTATATCTAGGTTGTCAATGGAGGCCGCTGCTTGTCATCCGGCCTTTGGCCAACTCCTCGCAGTGGCGACGGAGCGCAACACCATCTTTGTACTGAGGCTGAGGACGTCTAGTGTAGGTACTAGGTGGGAGTGGACATTATAGCATGCCTAAGGTACTACATAGTCTAGGACTGAAGGAAGCATGTAATGTCCTTTCAAAGAGAAAGTGGACAGACTGCGCACAGCACAAAGGATGGGCGAAAGCCAAAGGCTTTCCGTCCTGACAGGGAGGTCCACTCTGTGGGCAAAAGGCAAAACCAGATGAGCTGTGATGGGTGGGTGGGAGAAAAACAACCCACATCGCCTGCGTAACTAACCCAAGAGTGGCAAAACTCTCTGCATGGGAAAGCTTGTGGGTGCACCTTGAGCTGGAAGCGAGAAGAGAAAGGGAGTGGAGGGTGGGGAAAAAGAAATGCGAGCACCGCGTCCTCAGAGGGGCGGTGATAGTGGTATGGAAGAAAGAGAAAGTGATTACGTACACAGACTATCACACACTCTGTACAAAGACAGCACCCTATCTCTACACTCGTGCCTCCCTGCGCTCTAGGGCATAATATTTGTACTGAGGCTGAGGACGTCTAGTGTAGGTACTAGGTGGGAGCAGACATTATAGCATGCCTAAGGTACTACATAGTCTAGGACTGAAGGAAGCATGTAATGTCTTGCAAAGAGAAAGTGGACAGACTGCGCACAGCGCAAAGGATGGGTGAAAGCCAAAGGCTTTCTGTCCCAACAGGGAGGTCCACTCTGTGGGCAAAATGAGATGAGCTGCAATTCCCAAAGATTAGGAGTTTTGTGATGCGTCGAGCAAGTCTCGGAGAAAACCACATTCTTGGGAGCAGGGGAGGCAACTCACCAAAGAGCAAAGGGTTGTTGCAATTGGGTGCTGAGATATATATATATATACAATTGTAAAGAGTGGATGTGCCCCTTGTGCGGTAGTGGTATTTGGTAGGGAAGGTGGGCATCAACAACAGGAGTTTTGGTGGGACCATGACAAGGATTTGGAGGGGGGCTGCCCAGCTAGGGGGGCAAGGGTCTAGAGGAAACTGTAAGGACTTGCTATAGCAGGGGAATAGGTGCAGCATGCCTTTGTTATTGGGGGGAGGCCCAGCCTGATCAAGGGCGCTAGAAGCAAACAGTGAGGAGATCCCAGAAGGTCCAGCATATTGAGACTTCTTCAACTGGCATGTCCACCAAAATGGCTGGGAGGGACACCAGGAAGGATGGTATCTCCCCAACTCTCCCTTTCCCCCCAGCTCCGTCACAAAAGGTAGCCACCTCCACAATAGCATGTCCATTCTCAGCATAGACACATCTCATGATCTCTCGATATAGACCATCACCAACTGGGTGTATGCTGCCACTCTCAAGGCGGGTGCCAGATGTAATGCTGGGCAAGCTGATTTTTCCATCATATCGCAGCAGAGTCTTGTCACTGAAGACTTTTGGCACCCCAGTGCGGTCTTCATCAACCTTAAGACACATGTAGACGGCCTTTGGCATTCCAGGCAGGTGCAGGTTGGAGCACATCAGACTAGACACTTGTATGTCTGCAGGCATGCTGGACATGGAAAGGCTTGAACACATTTGGCTGGATGGCAGGGCTCTGTCCATCGATGATGAGGCACTTTGGGGGGGTTCACACACAAAGGAGAGAGAGGGGGACCTTGAGAGGTCGTCAATGAGTGTGGTGGCGGCCAGAGATGTACAGTCCATGGCTGACAGTTGATCAGCGGTGTGTGGCTGGGAAGGGAAAGCACTGTGAGTTCTGGCATGGGCCAGTGTTCTTAAGCATGTGGATATGCACCGATTTGTGTGGGGGTATCATTATGTTTCAATCAATACCCTTTTGCATGGCAGCAGGGGCTTAGCAACCACCTTTGCCTACCAGTTGTGGCACCTTGTTTGCAGGGTGGCAGTTTAACACCAGGGGGTGAGGGAGCTACAGTGGTTATTTATCCAGCATAGTGGGCAGGAGCACTTGGTGCAACTTACAAGGATACATCCCAGGATGTAGGGTCATTGGGACCCTCAAGGGACTTTGTACGTCAGCCACACCCTGTTACTATTTATACCACTTGGCCAAGGTCTAGGGCTGAGGGCTTGGGCCACTGGGCATCGTCAATGTCCGATGCATCTCCCAAGGGTGTTGATTCAACTAGTTAACTTTACTAGCATGGCTGGCACTGCATGAGTAGATAGGCAGAGGCTGCAACAGCCCCTCAGGTCGCCGGCCAGCAAGCATATCGCCACAGTCTGGCTGACTAGTGGTAACACCCTGCTGACCGCAGAGCAGACAAGAGCATATCTTCATCATGCTTACTGACTGCAAGCAGGTTTCCTCCCTGCCAAGCAGGTAGAGGACATCTGTTGGCTTCCCCGAAGGTACTAGATGCTTGAGTCGCGGAGAGGCCAGAGGCCAGGCCACCACTCCTTGATCAAGGGGAAGCCAAGTGGGTCTTGGCCAGCTGTTCCTCAAGTCTGATAACAACCAGGCATGGTGCAGAGGAAAATGGGGGAAGAGGGACAGCAGGCGCAGGAAAGGACATAGCAAGCAAGTATATATACAAGCTAGTACACAAAGGTATGTACAGGTCGGGGAAAGGGGTAGCAACAGAGGGAGCATGAGTGACAGCAACAAAGGGGGCAGCAGCGCATGTGTGCAACACATGGGAGGCATCAGCGTGTGCATGGGGAGCAGAAGCGTGTGCATGAGCACATGGGCACAGGGGAGCAGATGCAGCACAGTACATGGTGTACCATGAACAGGCGCGGGGGGCGGCAACAAAAGGGGGGAGGGGGCATGGGTGCAGTAAAGATGCATGGGAGCAAAGGAGCACAGATGAATGGGATGTGTCAGGCAAAAAAAGGAGTTGGGGAGGGGGGGAAAAAAAGGGGAAACTGTCAGCCTGTGTGCTTTGGGAACAGAAAAAGAGCTGTACCAACCTTAAGACCCCTTCCATGCGCCTTATGTTCCAGAGATCAGCCTGATGGCCTCGACGTGCTTTACGTTAATGACGCTGATATCAACTGCAGGCTTGTCGTTGGCACCACAGAGGGACTTATGCCACTCATGCTGGACCTGAGCCTCATAGTGTAGCAGTACCGTATCGCCATCGACCTGCAGCCACATGGGGTGGCTTTCGAGATTGAGGTAAATCCTGTGAGGGCGACGACAAGTGGCTGGGGCCAACCACTTTTGTGACATGTGGTGGAGCAAACAACTCTTGGTGATCGACATCTGATGCCATGTCAAATCCTCATCCAGGATGACCTTGTTCGAAGGCTTGTGCGAAGCCAGGGGTTTCAAGAGGAGGGTGTCGTTCGCCTTGGCAAAGGTAAAGGCATCTTGGGCAATGGTCCGGTTGAGCCTCACTGCCTCCAAGCAACCCTCCATCATGAAGGAGTAAAGCTCCATGTAGTTGCGCTTGTGTGTATCGTGTAACACGAAGGGGAGCTGCATGTTGTCCCTCACAGGCTTGTTTGCAATGAAGCCCTTCAGCTTGGGCCTCTTCTTCTCCTTCTCCTCTGCCTCCTCTTCCTTCCTGAGCTCCCGAAGCCCGCCCGCCTCATGTGCGAGCCTGGCCTCAGCCACTGCTGCCTCATCCTCTCTTACCTGTGCTGCCCAAGCCTCTTTCCTGGTGTGTTGTCCGCAACCCAGGCATCGGCTAACCGAGCAGCAACCACCACTTTGTCTATACCCTCCGCTGTGGTGAGGGCCGTGCAGACGGCATCAAGAGCCGCAGATGTGACCTTGGGGCTCACCTCCAGATTGGGGTCTTGAGTGATATGTGGCATTGGCGACACGAGGGGGTTTTACTTGAAGTGTGGCACAGAGATGGTGTCTTGAAAGGATTGTGCGCTGCAAATGTAGATATGGAGAGAAAGGAAAAGAAAAAGAAACGCGAGCACCATGTCCTCAGAGGGGCAGTGATAGTGGTATGGAAGAAAGAGAAAGTGATTACGTACACAGACTATCACACGCCCTGTACAAAGACAGCACCCTATCTCTACACTCGTGCCTCCCTGTGCTCTAGGGCATAAGCTTTGGGTCCATGGGTAGCTATCACGGGGCTGTTGGTGGTTGGGATGATTTACTTCGTGATGATAGTGAAGATGTTGATGAGGTATGACAAGGAAGGGGATGAGATGAGGGCGGATGCGGAGATGAGTTTGGCTGCTGTTTCTGTGCAGAATGGGGAGCTGGAGGATTAGGGTTTAAAGGTTCAGTTCAGTCCGGTTTTTTGCCCTGAAAATGCACAACTGTGGACCGCAACCGGTCCAGGACCGACCCAGATATTGAGGGAACCGAACCGAACCACCTAGGACCGGTCTTTTGCGGTCCATGATACCAGTTCAGACCGATCCAGACCGGTTTTTTTGCGTATAATTTATTATATCAATATAAACCATTTGTATCTCAACCATTATTACTCTGAAAAATAAACGGGTTATATAAAATAGTAAAGCATATAAATACCCGTCATTCTACCAATTTTCAAGAGATTTAATGAAGATTTGACATAGCTATGACTGAAACTGAATTACATCTCCTAGAGACTTGGGTAAAATATGGATTTGGTTATATCTTTCTCAATTCTTAACCGTTTTTGATGAGACAAAAACCCAATAAAAGGCAATAAACGTGGTTACAAGGCTATGTAACGCACGTGACCGTTTAACTGGTTTCAACCGATTAAAACCGGTCTTTGAACGGTTTTAAAAGATTTTCGAAATGAGGCAACCAGCAACTGGACCAACCCCAAATTGGGGCAACTGCAACCGAAAAAAAGACCGGACCATGGTCCGGTTCAGTTTGGTCCACCGGTTTTTTGTGGTCCTATGGACTGAACCTTTAAACACTATGGAGGATAGGGGCAGGGAGATATAGATTTCGATAGCAGAGTACATGCAAACAGATTTCTTGAGGTAAATTACATTTTGGACATCACCAGGACAACTTTCTTTTATTTCATTCAACTGTATGAAAAGAACTGTATCTAGTGTAATCAACTTGAAGGATGTCTGCAATATGTTTGGAGGTCATCTAAACGACATGTCAAGCCTTGCAAGCAAGTTATTGGTGTCTATGTTAAAGTTCTTGGGACTCATCACTGGCATATACCTAGTGTGATAGACAAAACTTCCTTACAACTACATAGAAGAATACACATATTGTTGTTCCAATTATGACCACTAGAAGCAGTGTGCCATGTTTGGTCCAATCATGAGGATTATGACTTCCACAAAGTCCTATTGTTTGCGAATGTTTATGAATTATGAAGCTGGGAGACCTAGCTAAAGCAAGGTGACATATAGAAACTTACTTGAAAAATATAGGGTCAATTTGAATTGTTTAAATACTTATCTGAATGGATTCAACATGTTATTAATATATTGTATCAATATTTGACCTTCATTCATCAAAAACAATCTTTGAAGATGTATTACATATTTCTTGCTAGAGAAGAGAGAAAAAAATGAGAAACTTTCAAAAGATATTTTTAGAGTATTCCAACACAAATTATCTTGTCATGTGTCCAGTGTAGACATATATTGATTTACATTGCCTATATATATAACCATATTCTGATCCTTCCTCTCCAAAATCAAATTTCAAACCACAACCCTTCAAATTTTGCTTAGATTGAGGTGTCCAATGTGGGTTGGAGACATTGCTCTGCATGTAGATTCAGAAGTTTCAATTGCAACATCTCAGCTTCCTCAGACTTTCCTTGCTTTGCCAAAATTGATGCAAGATGTTTGATGCTGGCTAATGTACCTGGATGTTCTGGCCCCAACAGCTTTGTACACAAATTCAAAAGTTGCATGTCCATGTTCTCAGCTTCCTCAAACTTTTCCTTGCTCTGCAAAAATTGATGCAAGATTGCTCATGCTGGTTAGGGTATCTGAGTGTTCTGGGCCCAAGAGCTTTGTACGTAGATTCAAAAGTTGCATCTCCATTTTCTCAGCTTCCTCAAATTTTTCTTGCACTTCAAAGATCGATACAAGATTTTTCATGCTGGTTAGTGCATCTGGATGTTCTGGGCCCAAGAGCTTTGTACGTAGATTCAAAATTTGCATCTTCAATTTTCTCAGCTTCTTCAAATTTCTTCGCTTTTTCAAAAATTGCTGCAAGATCTCATGCTGATTAGTGTATCTGGATGTTCTGGGCCCAAGAGCTTTTTACGTAGATCAAAAAGTTGCATGTTCAACTTCTCAGCTTCCTCAAACTTTTCATGCTTTGCAAAAATTGATGCAAGATTGCTCATGCTGGTTAGTGTATGTGGGCATTCTGGTCCTAATATTTTTGTGCGCAGATTTAAAACTTGCATGTACAGCTTCTCAGCTTCCTCAAAATTTCCTTGCTTTGAGAAAATGAATGCAAGATTGTTCATGCTTGTTTGTGTAGATGGATGTTCTGGCCCCAGAAACTGTGTATATACATTCAAAACTTGCACGTTCAACTTCTCAGCTTTCTCATATTTTCTTTGCTTTGCAAAAATGGATGCAAGATTGCTCATGCTGAGTACTGTAGCTGGATGTTCTGGCCCTAGCAGCTTTGTATGCAGATCTAAAAGTTGCATGTTCATCTTCTCAGCTTCTTCAAATTTCTTTCCTTTTTCATAAATTGAGGTAAGAGTCTTCATGCTGATTAATGTATCTGGATGTTCCACTCCCAGCAGCTTTTTATGCAGATCAAAAAGTTGCATGTTCAACTTCTCAGCTTCTTGAAATTTTTTCTGCTTTGCAAAAATTGATGCAAGATGTTTGATGCTGGTAAGTGTATGTGGGCATTCTGGTCCTAATATTTTTGTGCGCAGATTTAAAACTTGCATGTACAGCTTCTCAGCTTCCTCAAAATTTCCTTGCTTTGAGAAAATGAATGCAAGATTGTTCATGCTTGTTTGTGTAGATGGATGTTCTGGCCCCAGAAACTGTGTATATACATTCAAAACTTGCACGTTCAACTTCTCAGCTTTCTCATATTTTCTTTGCTTTGCAAAAATGGATGCAAGATTGCTCATGCTGAGTACTGTAGCTGGATGTTCTGGCCCTAGCAGCTTTGTATGCAGATCTAAAAGTTGCATGTTCATCTTCTCAGCTTCTTCAAATTTCTTTCCTTTTTCATAAATTGATGTAAGAGTCTTCATGCTAGTTAATGTGTCTGGATGTTCTGGCTCCCAGCAGCTTTTTACACAGATTCAAAAGTTGCATGTTCAACTTCTCAGCTTCCCCAAATTTCCCTTGATTTGAGAAAATTAATGCAAGAGTGATCATGCTGCCTAGTGTGTTAGGATGTTCTGGCCCCAGCAACTTTGTACGCAGATCCAAAACTTGCATGTGTAACTTCTCAGCTTCCTCAAAATTTCCTTGATCTGATAAGGCCGATGCAAGATTGTTCATGCTGCTTAGTGTATCTGGATGTTCTGTCCCCAGCAGCTTTTTCCGCAGATTCAAAACTGGTATATGCAACTTCTCAGCTTCCACAAATTTGCTTTGACCTGAGAGAGTTGATGCAACATTGTTCATGCTGGTTAGAGTATCTGGATGTTCTGGCCCCAGCAGCTTTGTGTGCAGATCCAAAACTTGCATGTTCAACTTCTTAGCTTCCTCAAATTTCCCTTGCTTTGAGAAAATGAATGCAAGATTGTTCATGGTGATCAATGTATGTCGATGTTCTGGTCCCAGCAGCTTTGTAGACAAGTTCAAAACTTGCATTTTCAACTCCTTAGCTTCCTCAAATTTTCCTTGTTTTGCAAAAGTTGTTGCAAGATTAGCCATGCTGCTCAGAGTTGATTGATTCATTTCTCCATATCTTTTTTTCTTCTTCTTCATTACTTGATATTGAAGATCCTCTGCATCTTTCCACATGCCATTTTCCTCCATTACATCACTGAATCTAACATATTCAAGTTCATCAAATTCTTTTTTGATGTGGTTTTCCTCTTGAAACTCATAATTGGCTTTGATGTGCACTAACAGAAGCCTGCGCAATGCAAAGTCTTCACTTGCATCACCTAGTGGAATAGAATGCACAAGTATCAATTTGGCCACTTTATGCATCACTTGCATCTCTGATATTGCCATTCTATCTCTATTCCACTTATGCATCAAAGGATGAACAGTATAGATACCAGAGGATGAGCCTTCTTTGATCAATGAGAATGATCTGAGAACTCTAATTCCTTCATGAAAGAGCATCTCATTCCAGGACTGATTCTCTCCAAGCTGAAGCAATTCACTGATGTGCTTTATAACTTTTCTATCCAGCTTTTTGTGATATTTTGAACTGAATGAAGTGGAGGCTTCTCTGAATATCATCTCAAGTATATTCTCATGATGAAAAAAGGCAGCAGTTTGAAGAATAAGAATAGCAGCATGGGCAGCCTCTCCATCTTGGCTGCTTGTCCTTCTTTTTGCCCTAGATTCAATTTCACAAAATGACAAGTCCCAAGTTTCATAGACTGTACGGTTATATTGAGATGCTCCTTTAAACACAGGATGGTTCATAAGTCTCACTCGATGCTGAGAAAGGTTCTCAAGATAATTATCAATACTGCAGAGACCAGTCTCAATGGCAGCCCCAGCCTGATCAACTGCCAGAGGTAAACAGCAGAGCTCATTGACAATATTTTGTGCCAAATTATGCATATTTCCAGATGTATCACTGAGGTGGCTAGCCTTTAGAAGAAGCAAGACAGCTTCATTCTGTGACATTTGGCAAATTTCCAGAGAATTCTCATAAGTTGTAACCCGTCCAAGAGATTTGTTTCTACTTGTCACTAGAATATTGCCCTTGGAGCCAGATGGAATGAATTTCTCTACAACTTCAGGTCCACCATCAGCATTATCAAAGACCAGAAGTCATTCACTCTGCAGTGAAGAGATCCATGCAAGGGCAGACTGAGAGGACACAGAGCTCAAACTAATAGCAGCTTTAGCATCAGGATGGAAGCAAAGACCCTTCAGACCCAGAGTAATTGTATCTTCAGAAGATGCATCAATCCAAAAGACATGAGAGAATCTAGAAATGGTTTTTAGAGACTTCAAAAGCCAGTAAGTGAAGAACATATACCTGTCAGCCATCTCCTCCACAAACTTCAAACAAATCTGAGACTTTCCAATACCTCCCATACCATAAAGTAGGAAAGACTTCCTCTCCCTATTCCCCTGCTGTGCAAAATGATTCTTCAGTTTCTCAATAATGTGCTCGCGACCTGTAAAGAGAGCACTTGAATTTGGTATCTGGGGAATGAAGGGTGCATCATGCTGAACACTGCTGAAGTGTTGATGAAATTCCATCTAGATCAAAGATTTAATCATTATCACACCCATGATAGCAGAACATACATTTTGGGCACTATAGAAATTGGAATCCTTGATAACAAAGTTGTGAGCTCCCTGCAATACATTCTGGTGTCCCATGAAATATGAGCAGACAAGTCTGATCAAACTGAAGTGGCAACACGCACCAGAGCCGCGGCTCCTGCCATAACTCCAGACACTCTTTGAAGACCTCGTCAGAATAAGGATGCACAAATCTGAAAGTAGGCCCTAACCTTGAACCAGTTGCGAGATTCTCATTGGATGAGTGGGGTGACTCTGAGAGTCGATCGTATAATGCCTGGAACTTGCCTTTCAGACGACTTCCGAGAGGGCGACCAGGATCAGACATGGTGGTACAGAAGGAAGCGACAATGCTGTGCGGCGTCAAAGTTGGCTGACTGACTCGATTGTGGCTGACAACGAGGTCAGCTGACGTTGACGTTTAACTTCTTGTTTTCTCAATATGTAGTGGATTCATGCAGCTGCCATCTACGCCCTGTCAATGCTGTTGTAGAAGAATGAAGGAATGAACGTGTCAGAGGAGTGATGTGGAGAGAGAACCGTTGGCGAAGCTTTGAGTTGGTGACGAAGATTTGAGGAGATCTGGGGTGTCATCGGGACTCGGCACGAACTTTCACGCAAACCGCAGTGTTTGGTATGAGCTGATGAACCGAATCGGCACCACCACTCTACCGAACATCGCCTCTGACGACTTGCTAGTGACCGAGCTAGCTTTTCGTTCTATGTCTCGCATAGTAATGCATCCCACTCCATCAATACCGCTCTCTACGCCCAGGTCTTCCATTGTTCAAGTGGTCAGCGCGGCAACTCAAGTTGGAGGCACACTCTGAGCGGTATGTGTGATAGGTTTTTTGATTACCTGCTTCTTCCTGACAAGGAGTCATCACTGGCAGGCAATGCCGATGTCCCAATCTTCACGAATCTGTACCTCGAGTATTATATCTTCGAAACCCTTACTTCCAAGCGACCTCGTAATTCAATCCCCTAATCTGAACCCTATTCAAGACGGACGAGGTATCTAAAGCACACTTTCCACATCTGGCTGGCTCATTCAATGTTCAACACACCTCCGACTGTCCAAAATCCTGAGCATGTCACACTCCGCAGCCTAACCTTCCTGGACAATTACTTCTACCCTAACGCGAAGCCCCTTTGCTTTGCCGATGGGCTAATCTGTTGACGTTGCACAGAACTGGCATAGAATGCTCTCAAAGATCGAAGTCATCATGACCAGTGCGGATGTGGGGAATACTTGTTGGGAAATAGCCCCTCAGCCTTTCATTGGTTCCGACCACCTGCGTTCTTGTAAGCGAAGAAAAATAAGAAGGGGAAAGAGAGTGGGTGAAAATGGGGGATGGACAACAGGTTCACGGTAGATGCGACTTCATCGTTTTCGCCCCATGGAAGGGGTCAGCGATGACCAATACTTTGGATTGGATATGAAGGACGAGATCAAGCGAACCACATCAGCAATCGCAAACGTGGACCAACAAAGACGTGGGTTCACCTCTTTCCTTTCCCTTTTGATGATGATCTCACCCTTTTGTGCTATGCAAGGTAGTTCTATATGCAAAGTGTAACCAGGGAAGGCCAGTACGTACCGCTCATTTTGTAAGACGATGTGATTTTGATTCAACTATCACTAGTAGCGCTAAGTGAACCCTCTTTGGAATGCCACGGGCTCGCAAAACGCCCGCGGCTATGGGTTGATTCCAATCGACGCGAATGCGGGTATCTCTCATCGTGCCTGTGTGGTATTCACATAGGAATCGGATGACGAGTCGATATACGCTGCTCAGTACCCCCGACCGCCTGTCCTTTGAAGCATAATGGCCATGAACTCTGCCTCCTGTACAGCAATGCAGGAAAGGGAAGGGGTGTAGGGGAACTCGAAGTAGCACGCAGCCTTTCCTAACCACAACGTCGGGCTTAGCTGAAGTTGGTAAGTAGATCGTCTCGAATCCCAATGGCTCAAGCTCAACACTGTTTTTCTCTTGCAGGTGTCAATTGAAACAACCACCGTTACAAATCCAACCCCCATAAGCCTATACAGGCGGATCTCAATTCGCCGCGACTGAGCCAAATCCCTCACCCCTCCTTCATGCTATCCTCGCCGTCATGTTCAAGTATCCGCCAAGGCGATTTGAACGCTTGGAGACTTCGACGAAGTGTAGACCCCCAACTTCTTCTGGTTACTTATGGTCGGCCTCTAACTTTTTCCGACGTTGATATTCATCACTCTTGAACGACTTCGGACGCTCGTTTCAACATCTGCCTCATTGAAGAGCCCACTACGAGTTTTACTCATTGACCTTGGCCGCATGACCGAGCATTCTGAAGTATCGCAGTGTCTCGCATAACCAGCTTTGCTTTCTCGATGCTGTGTATTAGCCGTGGTCCTCCATTGACTCATCATTCAGGCTACCGTCTTCACGCCTATTCTTACCAAGGCGCACGGTTTCAAATTGATCTCAAGCCAACTTGACAGTTGCAGGAGCGAGCGTTGACTCGATACCAGCGGCCCTGTTCATTACTGGGTGTACGTCGAATCTTTTTAGATTATCCTGCCCTCCCCTTGATCAAACTTTGGGACGGGGCGGAGCGTGTCCGTATTGCAACCGTATTGTTGATTTCAATCGCTATGTCGATTACATAAGCGTTAGCTACTCAACATCCTTGTCCTCGTTCATCGCTCGACGCGCGACGCGCGACCAGTGTTGGCCGTGACCATGCTCCCTATTTCGCAACATATGTGACACACACACACACCTAGCGCTCAACTCACAATTCCATGGCGTCCTTTTCCCAAATCCTCATTCTAAGCAGTTCAATCCACCATCTCCATGACCGTTCCATCATCAACGAACAGTACATGAACCTGCTCCTCAAACAACAGCGTCTTCGATCCCTCCCATGTTCCGACCACCCCTGCTCCTCACCAATCAACGGAATATGTATCCCCCGCCTCTGCAAATGCGACGACTTTCCCTTCGGACTGGGATATGGTCCTGGTGAATCACTGCCACCCCCCTAAGGATCTTTCTGCTCAGACGACGGTAGCGACTGTTGGTTAGCGTAGGAGCACCCTGAGAGCCGAACCGCGACGAGCAGTATTCGCCTCCGTTGCATAGGCAGGACTTGGGGAGGTTCCAGAGTTGTAATGGTTTGAAGTGGACTTGTAGGTGCGTATCGGATTTCGTGGTCGTTCCATTCTAGTGTTGAAAGAGCCACCCACAGATACGCTAATATTACTTTTGGGCAGAGTTGCGTCGCAGATAACACGACTTACACCGACATGGCGAGCAATACATGTTCACCGTCACGAAAAATAACCTCGATTCTGCTGCAATCGGGGGTCTTCCGTCTGTCGATGGACTCTGGGTCCGCCGCTAAGGCTCCATTGCGCATGTTGCTACAGTGAACAATAATATTTGTCCATGCACTGGCAAAACATAGACAAGAAACCGCCTAGTTATGTTACAGTTTGAACCCGAACTAAAACTGCATGGATCGCGAACGCTGCCGTCACAGCAAGCGTGAAGTCATCTGGACAGCAGTGAGCAGTTGACAGCATATTCATTTAACAGTGCCTTACTCAATCATTGAGGCCTCGAATCAGAAATTCAGCAGCTTTGGAGCGAGGCTCGATTGTGCAGTTGAAAGGTAGGGGATATCTATACGGGAATGAATGGATACTCATAGACTCCATAGAAAGAACACATACGACAGAAACCCGCTTGTGTAATTCGCCTCAAGTCGTTTAGGTTTTCCGAGTTCATCCACTGGCGCATTGACATTGTATACCGCCAAGACAGACGAGACGATAGAATATAGAGAATTGTCGCTCAAGTACCTGCCAGGACACATCCTAAAGCCCCGCTGTTAATGACTCATTTCGATGCCATTTTCTCACTCACCTCCTGCCAAATCCGAAGGCCGCGACTACTGGATCCCTAACGCCTGGGTCTATTTGACCATCTTTAAGGTAGCGCTCCGGCCTGAACTCTTCGGGGGCCTCGAATACTTCAGGATCGTGCAAAACTGACCTATGCACAACTTTTCTATAAATAAATTTTTTTCACGTATGCGAAAAACGTAGCATGCAGCTCCGATGACGGCAGTACCTTTTGGAATAAAGTATCCATCATACTCATCATCCTCAGTAGCCATGTGTGCAAAACCTGCCTTTATGAACAGCCGGAGGAGGAGATTGAAAAACCTCTTACCGAGGGGAAGAACCAATTTCCAACGCATCGTTTCCTTGATTATTGCGTTTACGTATGGCAGATATGGGCGGTCGTTAAAGTCTGGAAGGCGATTTATTCCGACGACTGCATCGATTTCCGCCTGTGCCTTTCGCAAGACTTCCGGATACATCGCCATGGCCAAAAAAAAAGTTTGAGCGGTTGAAACGGTCTAATAGAGAGTGAGTCGCGTCAAAAGAAAATTTGGAGAAAATATGACGAACAGTATCGGCTCCAGCTAACGTCCAAGTGATTGACAAAATCAGTTCGGGTACAAGAATATGATTGCTCACCAAGGTATGCTATCGCAGCGGTATTTCGAGAGATAATCTCTTCCTCCGCTCGGCCTAGTTCTTCGTTTCCGGGAAAATCCTCCAACAAAGACGTCAGAACGCAAGGTATCGCCGTTCCCTCCGCCTAAAAATACGATGTTCAACTTGTCCGATTAGCAAGTGATGTGGAACTAAGAGTTTACCATTTTCGTTTGTACAATTTTAAAGGGTTGATTGGCCACTTCGGCATGTATGGCGGCATAGTGAGCAGCTTTCCGCTTGAAGCCAGCTCCAGGAAACCAGCTTGGCACATATTGCAAGAATGGGAGCAGATCCACCCAGAAAGTCCCCTGAATGCCAGCCTCGGCAGCGCTTTGCAGCGCCTCCTCAGCCAAAGTGATATAGGGGTCGTCAGATTCCAAGACTGGTAGGCCATAAGTGACACTCATAATGGTTGATGCAAAAGTCCTGGAAAGACATTGGTCAGGCTATCAAATATGAATGATTGCGGCTTACTGTCGGATGTGATGCATGAAGTTTTGCGGTGTCGTGAGAAGCCGACGGAGTAAGGCTTGAGTTTCTTTCACCTGGATTGGTAGATATTTATGGACGGTGTTCGCGTGAAAATGTTCGTGAAAGGCACGGCGGTGCCTTCGCCACATAGTCCCGTAAGGCATGTTTGGTATAGCGTAACCCCAACCCATTCTGTGTAGCAATTTAGCCTGCTCGTAAAATGACATTTGGGCTGGGGAGAACGTACAGCCTCAACATAGGCATGATCAATCTGTCCGAGTAATTTGACGATCTCTTGTCTAATATATCGTTTATTCTTTTCGGGGATCCTAAAACTAGAAATGGCTGGCCGAGAACCTCGAAGCATACCATATCGCCTGGTAATTAAATTAGTCACAAGCCTCAAATATTAACCGGGGGCGCACCATATTTCTTAAACATTTTATCGTAAGCCAGCCACGGTTTATCGCTCATTGACGGCACTTCCAACATGGCCCCCAGAATGGGGAGTCCCTTGGGACCTGGGGGTCGGGGAAGGCAGTTGGGATTTGGCTTCTTCACGCCGATATGCTTCAAGCTCCATAGACCCAACAGCAAGCCTGCGACAGTGAGGTATGAATGAAACTGGAGCGTCTCCATCACACCCGAGACTGCAGTGTTGGGAAAGTCTGAAGCGAGTATGTCGTACATGATGGTCGCACTGCCGATGTAGCAAGGGGGAAGTGATTGCCTCACTGGCACTCGTCATGTCGCTTTTATTGAATATGTTCGACACATATCCTGGAGTTCAGAAAATCAGACCCAAGGATAAGGTCCTGGTCAGGGTGCTTCTTATCGTTTCCGGTAAATCCGTTTTTTCGTCATCGGCATGGAGCTTCGAGTTGACATCAGGACAGGCGCGCGTGGAAGTTCAACGGGATAGAGGCATTTGCTTAGGTTCAGCATACTGGAACTATTAGTGAGTTGAGTTATAAACGTTTGGCAGGGATGGTAATTTGAAGTAGTGCTATTTTTCGGAGTGTTGGGACCAGCTGGGTTTCGTGGCTGCAGCAAACGCCATATGACTCTAGGACAAGCGACGTCAAGTACTGTTGTACTGTGGGAGTGGGAGTTAAGCGACTCACTGTAATAGGACTAGTATATCGTCAAACCTTCATTGTAAAGTGTTGACCAACTGAACTTTCTTTGAGTCGATAGATGATGTCCTGTAAGTACCGAAATCATGCACTTAGAGAGAGTCTTTGAAGGAGGGTCTCAATCACAGCCCACGAGTAAGCGATTTAGCAGCCTTGAAGCGTGGCCCGACTCTAGAATTGAAGGTGCAGGATATCTGTGGATACGTGAGTGATCCGGTTTGGCGAGATAAATACACGTACGACAAGAGCCCGCTGATATGATCCACTTCAGCTCCGTCTGGATAGTCCAAATTTATCGACCTTTACAGTGGAGCCCATATGCACCTGTCAGTTTCGATGCTGATGCCTCAGGCACAACACTCACCTTCAGCTGCCGACCATATTCCCGACCACCGGATCTCTATAATTCTCGAGATAGCACACCGTCGGATGCGATCTATGAGATTGTCGAGCGTTACGTCGAAGCAATGCATGCCTTTCTTTCCTTCGCTAGGGTGGGTTAACACTTGAATGGCAGGCGTTCTGGTGGGAAATGTTGGTGAAATGCTCGGCAGTGTTGCCCCATGCAATGCCGTAAGGCATAAGCGCCTCAAACGGAGATCAGCGTCTATCAGCGTGCTGCCATCTTGTCCCAACGGTCAGGCGTCGATACTATGCGTTTCCGCGGTTTGTCGTTGACTGGTCGTTTAGGATGCTACAACTTTCTTACCGAGGTGCACAATCTCAAATTGATTTAAAGCCATGAAAACCGCAGAGCGAGCGTCACTTGAGTGTACTTTGAATCACTCCAGGTTGCCCTGCCCTCCTTCAAATCAAGTTTCGAGACTGTAGCGGAGTGTTGTTTGTATCGTTGATTTATCGTGGGTTATGGAAAATAACCTCGATTACATAAGCGATACCATCTCCGTGATACAGACCATAATTAGCCGTTTTTCCTATTCTTACAAGTGTACCACATCCTCGTCCTCATCGTTCATCGCTCGACGTCCACCAGTGTGTTAATCATGTCTTGGCAAGGTAATACCTTCATCGGTGGCATAAATCAGCATATCGACGCCCTATTACGCAGCATACGTCGATTCTAACCTGATCGGGAGTGGCAAGGTCTCAAAGGCGGCGATTATTGGTTTGAAGGGTGGTGTATGGGCAACGTCGGTGGGGTTCACAGTGAGCAAGAGAGATTATTATCTTTTCGCGTCGTTCTAAGAGATCTGTCACAGTTAAGCACAGAGGAACAGAAGGCGATCGTTGACGGTTTCAAGAACCCTGACGCTATTCTGGCAAGCGGTGTTCGGCTTGGAGGTCAAAAGTTCTTCGCGGTCCGAGCCGACCAGCGTAGTATTTACGGGAAGAAGCAGGTACGTCCTAACGCGCTTCAGCCTTTTGATCTACCCGTGATACGTTTTTATGCACAGCTCGACGGCGCTGTGATCGTCAAGACCACACAGGCTGTCATTGTCACTGAATACCTGGCGCCACTCCAAGCCCCGGAGACGACGCCCATTGTGGAGGGTCTTGCGGATTATCTGATCTCTGTGGGCTACTAGATGTCTGCGTTTGTATTGTTACCATCAGGTGTCGTGTGCAGTACCCCAAGGGATGATGAAGTCGGACAGTCCATATGTATCACAAACACACTGCTTTACTATCCATTGAAATTCGCTATCTGCTTTGTCCAACATTCAAGTAGAATAAGCATCCATCCATCCATCCATCACTCGGATCTAATCTACTGCGATTTTTCTTTGTTCCACCAGCTTGGCACGGATTACGACATTTACGGTACCATCCTAATGAGTCAAAGAACGCTGACGAAGCTGTTGTTGCAGAACAGACACCGATGAACAGCCTCCAGAAGCTCTTCAACTACCCATCCCCGAGCTGTTGGTGGTAGCCAACTGTGATCAGGCGAATTCGGCGCCGACACGGGGAGGAACGCCTTCCGACTGCATCCTACGCAAGTTCGGACCCGAGGAGTGGATAGAATGAAAGTTGTTATGGAGCATCGGGCTGAGCTCAGAAAGATCAGTCTCACAAATGGTTTTCAGAGTTCAACGGAATGACAGTACCCCATGTGTGGCCGTTGGGACATACAGCTGTTGTGATATCTTGCAGTGGAACCTCTACTTTGCAAGCCGGGCACACTTCGTTTAGTTCGTTTGATATTGGAGACGATGGGTTGCTTGTGAGGCCCTCCACAAGTGCCGCCAGGTCTCGTCCTTCTTGTGATAGATCCGGAGGGCTACCAGGGAGAAGAGACTGAACCACCATTCTTAATGCAAATGGGACGTCGTTGGCTATGGGCGGAGGTTAAGTCTAATCCTCTCGGGTGTCAAGATGAAAGCGACAAACGTTGGAGGCAGTTGGTGACAGAAGCCAGGTGCCGAATTATCGTGCGTAGCACACGATGTGAGATGGTGTTGAGAAGTCCTTGAGCAACATGCCCGCAGTCTGCTTGTTGTTCCGGGCTTATGGATAGTTTCTGGAGCATGATTCCATCATAATGCTTTTCAAGAGAACATGAGACCAACCCAAGCAAAGTCGGCCAGCGAGAGCCGCATCCTAAGCGAAAGCAGTACATCCCACCCGAATAAATGCCTGGAAAGACTCGTCCTGAAATCCCGGCGGAGTTCGGGCGTCATTTCTCCAGTACATTGTGGAATATGAATGTCAACCGAGTGGTCCGCGAATGTCGGCTTCAAGATCTCGAGGAAGTGGGGATGTAAGGAGGCGAGCTTTCGTTGATTCCGAAGGTGGAAGAGGTATGGGCGGAGGACGTGGAGGGGCTCGGAGCCGATGGCTGTGGGTTGCATGACTAAGGAGTTGTTCAAACAACAAGATAGTGGTGATAGGTTTACCTGTCCTGACGCCGTTCAATGTGTTGGCAAGGCCTCTGAGAAGCACATCGTCTTCATCGTCTTCCCACATTTGCGCAGCGATCAGCATGCTACTATGTTTCGCATCGTGTTTGTAGCTAAAGTCTGAAGGGTTTGCTGTCCTAAATTGACTCAATAAGAGCACCGAGTGGCAAATGAAAAAGAGCTCACTCGTAAGCCCACAAAAAAGTGGCATGATCGTCATAAGATATCGTCCCAGTAATCCGGTTCATATCGTTCTGATCAACGGCGCCTTGCTCTGCCTTGACGAAGACACTGCGAGACGTTTTAGACAGGTTGTCTGAAGTAATCTGGTCATCCTCCTTCTGAGATGTCCAAGAGGGGTCTTTTGAGAGGTTATGGATAGTGTGGAATGACCCATCGGAGAGGATTACACGAGTATGTCTCGTAGCCGAAGGTAAACAATTCCCGACACTGATGGGAATGCGGATGAGACTGCGGATATCTTTTGTGTCTTGATTAAGAGAGAACGAGATCCCGTCCAGCCGAATTCTTCGCCAGCTACAGTCCAGAGGTGCACGATTCCAGGTTTGCAGACGACCAGAATGGGCTGTGTGTGCAGAATGAATCAAAGGTCAGAAGCTTGGAGAAGGGCAGGACTCACGCCTCTTCCAACGATGTCCACCCATATCAAGGCCGTAATTCCAGTTTTATCAGGACCAAATAGTAATTCCGGGCCGCGTTCAACGGTAACCTCCAATACAAAGTTTTGAGCAAAATGGAATTCTCCATCTGTTTCTTGTAGGACCTGGGTGATCTTGATAAGACCCACAGAACCGTCGGCACTTCCATAAGCGATGTATCCTTCGCCTGAAACAGTCGGTAACTCTGGAAATTTCTGAGTTCACGGACTCACAAACACCGGGGGATGCGAGGCTCCATGCAGATGGCGCTAGTTGTGTTATCCACCTGTCTGCGACTGAAATAGTGTGAATGTGTTCAATCTCTTTGTGAGCGTGGTACCTAGGCCGGAATAAGCATGACGCACAGGATTTCATCGATAAACTAACCGGAGAAGGGTGATAGAACCTGCTCTGCTGCCGATTACGAGAAAAGAGCTGTTCACCAAGGGCGTCGGGCAAACGTTGAAATTGGCAAAAGGAGTCCAAGCCACGCCTCAATCGGCGAATCAGACGCGGGATCAGAATTTTTGGCTAAAAACACGTACTGATGACCTGTGATTTCAGAATATCTTCGGATGGGTGAGTCTCCAGAAGAAATGGTGTGACGTCGGCGGCCTGCTTTGGGTTAGTTGTAACACAGATCCGAAAGGACGGTATAAACTTTCGGCCATTCTCCTTTCAGATAATTCTTTCCGGCAACCCAGAGAGTGAGGTCCATGTTAGAGCTGAGCATTGCTAGGACGCAGCTTGAAGTGACGTTCGTTTAATGTCTTCTAGATCGGTAAGGGGGTGACGACATACCCGCCATCGGAGGACAAACCGCTTGGTGAAATTGCTACTGACGAGGGTGACAAGTCGATTGACCCCAGGGATGCAGCGCCCCATGCTAAATCAGAAGGATTGATCAGCTCAGAGAAAGTGGTCAAGTTGGCAGTATAGCGCGGAACCTTGAGAATGATCAGGCCACCGAATCCCTTCAGACTTGTCAAACTGAATAATGGTTCTAAACCACCCCAGCGCTTGAGAGTCTTCGCGACTTTCTTTGTTCAAGGAAGACTTGATCACGGAGGTATTGTCAAAGTTGATTCCGTGATCTGGGGTCTACGCACATGGAGTCAATTTTCCGTTCAACAAATATTTTTGATAACGACTCACAAGGATGTAAATCGCGGTTTTTGTCACGAAACATAGTTGCCCATCAGAAGACCACTGGAGGCAATTCACAGAGGGGTAGGAAGTAGCCGTTGGGACATTGAGCGCGCTGGAGACAAGCGGTGCCGTGGAGGAAGGTGGCGGAACGGAGGTCATCAAGTATTCCAAGTATTCCTTTCGGTTGACAAAGTCCTAGAAACCCAAAGACATCCCAAGTTTGCAAACCAAACGCAAAGTTAACCGTCGGACAAGAACCAGAGTGATGCCGCCTGATGGAGTTTGGGAAGACGCGCCCTTTGGCGCTTTAGATTTTTATGTTTGGCGCTGTCCTCGAAACCTCACAGTCTCATCTCCTCCGCCAGGCTCCAGGATCCAGCCAAATTGCAGCTCGAAAAAATGGCCAAAGGCTCCAAGAAAAGGAAGCAAGGGCCAGAGAAACCTCAGCCGGTTTTGAAGAAACTAAGGCAGGATGTTGTACCAACCGCCGTTGAAGCTGACCCGTCGAACATGATCGGCAACCTGCTCTTCCTCGATGAACTGGAAACGACGACCGAAACTCTGACTCTGCTTGCTCAAAACCCTGGCTTGATTGGATCAAAGGTGTTGAAACCGTTTAAGACTGCAGTACATGACTACTGGCGAGTAGCTCATGAGACAACGAACACAGGTGAGCACCCGTTCATCATCACTCTACAATGAATTCTAATTTTAGTGAGAAGGAAGTTCATTGACGTCAAGGATATCCTCCGCACTTGTTGACCAGCGCCACGTCGATGCTCTCGTGCTATTAGCGGAGATGGTCATCCGGGAACAAATGCCGAAATTGGGAGCCTTGCAGCGATGGGTCAGAGAGTGCGATGCCGTTTTGACACCAAACATGTTACAGAAGGACGAAAGTCGGGTGTGGCAGGTTCTCGATTCCATCTTGAGGACTACGCAGCCCGAGATGATCTCGAAGAACCAAGAGGAGGGTGGGGTGTTGAAAGAAGGAAGTCGATTGCGATGGTACGAGCCATTCACGGTGAAGCCTCCTCCCGGCCGTGAGGGCGGCTCGATAGACTCGGACATCATAGCGGAGAAAGCGGCCCTCGTGTTGAAGCCGCTTCAAACTACCCCAGGTCCAGAGCGGCGACCACCTAACAAGCACCCTGCTGTGATCTTCTATTCCCCACCTAATACATTTCCTCTCCTCCCTTCATCCGAACGGACACGACATCCGCAACGACACGAGCTTCCTGGTGTGCCT